CAAAAGTAAATATTCCCTACCATACCAAAAAATATACCCATTGGAGAATAATAATAACAAACATAGAAAGTGTGGTATCTGAAGTAAGGGATCAAAACCAACAAAACATAATTATTAATAGAAAAAGTACGATCTTATTTTGTTATCAACCAACTTTGATACACTCTGGATTTGATTATTGGGTAGGACCACGTACCCAATAAAATCTCAAATCCAGAGTTAATATTGTACAAAATGGTCTAAACAAACTTAGGCAAAACTCGGGGAGGAATAATGATTTGTTAGTAACGGTTGGCAAAACAAAGAAATTCATGAAGGATGATGATGAATTGTTAATTACTAAGGCAGATAAAGGTGGTAAAACTGTGATTGTTATGAAGATCAATGTACAGAAAGGATGTCCACACTATTAAATGATATCTATAAAATTAGAACACGAGATTCCACACATCATTTGGAAAAACGTTGTAACAAGCTATTGGATGAATTATATACGCATTGATAAAAAAAAAAGGCACCTAAAAAAAGCACCTAAAGTTTATTAAAGGCACACAGATCCAAAAGTGTCTTCCTAAGTTTCACAGGCCATATGTTCCTTACATACCTATTGTTAGTAGTGTGGGTTCTCCTGGCTTTGCTAGTTAGCTACATATATAAAAAAATATTGACTAATTTGGACTTACATAAAAATATAATGTTAAGGATTCTTTTGAGTAAAAGGCCTCATCCTTGATCACCTTTTCTTCAAAAATATTATTTTAAACAATAACATAATTTAATCAATATGACTTAGAAAAAAGTTAATACTAACTACAATATCAAAAAAACAACAGTACTCATTAAATTGTTTTATATAGATTTTTGTTAAAGAGGAAACAAGGCTGCTTTGAAATATATGCAATTTATAAAAAAAGCAATCAGGTTGTGTATGTTCTTCAGAAGCAAGTAACTAACAAAATCTTTAAAAAGAAGCAATCTTTTGAATAAGAACAATTATAAACAAACTTAATTATTTTATTTGACCCAAGTTTATATTGGGTTTAATTTCACAAATAGATATGTATCAATAGAGAAACGAAGTCGTGGAGTAATAGTAAAATCTGATTAGGGCAGATGTTTGGCCCTTGACAATTTTATTGAGTTTGAGACTAGTGGGCCTTTTGAGGATTTATCAATAGAATCACTGTGTAGGAAAGGAAAAGGTCAGCCAATGCATAAAAAGGGCAAAGAAGTTCTCAATGTCCCTATTTCATAAACATGTATTTTCGTTTTTTATTCAACTGTTGTCCTCTATGATGCCTGTGTATTGCTCAATTTATACTTAAAATTTGCACTTAAAGTTAAATAGTGAAACGTATTTTTTTCTGGGATAAATTTATTTCACAATTAAATCTGTTGATATGTTTTATTTAAGGTTGTGAAACTTTCGAAAAGAGTTTTATGTCTTGAAATGCTTTTTTATAATTTATTCATAAAAAGTAATTTCCCAAAGGTCTTGCACAAATGTTATCAACCCAATTTGTAAATACCAGAGGTCTGTGAATATTTGAAGTTATTACAGTGTTAATGAAAGTTAACACAGGGCAACGCTGAACTTCCTAGTGCGGTGAAGTGATCAATTTAGAGATATTTATTTTTCAAAAATACCCTGTTCCAATTCATCATTTGTACATTTATTCTCCATCGTTGTGATAACATTTGTCTAAAGTTTTCTCATAAGAAATAAGTTGGGATTACCTACAGGACATATTTGCAATCATTTAAGTAATTTTTAAAGGGATTGATCAAACAAGGCGAAGCGACACCAAATCAGAAATGAAATATGTCGAAACCATTGGAAACTACATAGTTATTTTACCTTTCAATACTCTTCCAATTCAATCTTTTCTTTTCTCAGTCCAAAAACTATGCTCTACTATTATTGAAGGCCATAGATTGAAAAATTCTTGTCTGCATAATTTTACTTTTAAGGAAGGTTTATTTCTTTATGTTCTTTTGTTTCCATTCTACCAATCCTGTTTATCAGTTAACTTTTTATAGCTGAAAATTATGTAGTAACAATTGCATAAATCACATCTGAAGTTCAATGGACAGATCAACATTAAAAACTGCTTACTAAATACTACACATTAAAAACACTGTTTAAGCATTACTTCATATTGACAAACTTAGTTTTTTAAACCATTTGTTTGTTAATGAACAGAAAAAGCATTATGCCTTAAACGACAAAAATATTACAGCAATGACTATAGTGTTACTTCATGTTGTCAACGCCAGAAAGTCAAAAATTCAAACTGGTCATATCACAAATAATCCACATCAGAGAATGTACAAATCTAATTTTTTTTACTCAAGAGACTAGAAATTTAATGTATATAATGAATGTTGGAGATTCATTGATGTCAAATTAAGTACATATTAGATTTTTTTCAATTTTCTTCATCTTCAGTCAATACCTAAATTATCAGTGTTTTCAAACTTCAAATTGGGTCAAATACTGTATAAATTTAGAAATTCTTAACATTGATTACCTGGCTGAAGATCAGTGAACTTCAGTTGTTATTAGGCTGAAGGCAAAATTAACTCTTCAGTGGGTGAAATTAAAAAAAAATGTTTTGAAATAACCAAGATGATTCAGCAGTGTCAAATTTAGAGCATATAGGCTTTTTCAATTTTATAAATTTATTACCTTACTATATAAATTAAGGCAGTGTTTTCAAATTTCAAATTTGAATACTGTATAAACATAGCCATTCTTAGTGGGAAATGGTTTACATCAACAGAGATAAACACAGCATCAGACAGAACAGATATATGTAAACTCAGCTGCAGCTATGCTAATATCATAAATAAAATTCGACATCAATCATCCTGGCTGAAGAACAATTACTTCAGGCATGAACCGGCTGAAGACCTAACAGTATAATTGACACTCCAGTGGATGAAATTTAAAAAAAATGTTTTTAAACAACTGTTTCAAATTTAGCACACAGACTTTTTCAGTGTTTTCAAACTTCAAATTGGATCAAATAGTGTATATGCTGCTAACTTTTTATATAACATGGATAAAGATTCGTTAACTTCTGGCATGTGCAAGCTGAAGACCTATCAGCAGAATTGAGACTCCAGTTTATGTCATTGCGAACAGAAATATGTAGAAATGAAAAAGTTATTAGGAAGGAGGGCATAAGTAACCTACCTACGAACAAACCCATTGAACAACCGATTTATATTCGTATATATTTACAAATTATTTTTAGAATTGATGTAATTATTTGATCTTGTAAGCATGAATTAATAACGGGGGGGGGATTTCAGGGCCGAACATCATATGCACTCACCCTAACCGAAATTTATGGGCTCATGCCTTAACCCTAGATTGTTCCGACCTAGAAGATAGAACATTCGGGAATTCGTGACAACGACGTGAAGAATTTCAGAATCTTGTCTTCTTTCTTCTGTGTAAGAATCACAATCGTGTGATTCGTGTGACAATAGAAAATCGACTGAACGTGTAAGAAGTTTAACAAGAGGTTCGGACTGTTAATGGGATTCGTTGCATTGTGACCGAAGAGTCAATCCTAAGTTGAAAAATGGGTGAAAAGTTAAATGAACAACTTAACTATTGACATACCTGTCTTGTTCCGGTCGTTTCGGATTCCTGATATTTCTTCCCTTCCAGCCTCTCCATTATGCAGTCTTCTTCATCCGAGTGTGGACCCTTGGATTTTCTCTTATTGTTGAAAATACGCGAAAACGCGTTCCACATGAAAACTTCACGGCTCGGATATCATAATAGGCCCCGTCGTCCGAGGGTAATCGTCTCTTCGATGTTTAACTTTTCTCGTTCGCACCTATCATGACACGTTAGGTTATGCTCGGGAAAAGTCGCTGATAAATTGGCCGAATCGCTTACCGGCGAGAAGGGAGGACAACGTTGGATTTTTCAACGGGGTGAAACTTAAGAATCGACGAACGCAGGGACAAACGGAAAAAAACGAAATAAATCAACGATTGGGACTTATCAAAAGGTGAAAAGTTGGAGAAATCACATAACTAGAAATCGCTGTTCAGCCGATCCTTTTAACCGTCCTGACACTCGGCACACATTCAAGACCGTTTAGCAATGCCGTTCGAAGATCTGGCCACCAAAAACTTTTTTCCGGACACTTTCTTTGGACTTTTAATGTGAATCATCCTCCGGCATTACTGTCCCATCTCTCCAGTCCAGTGGAGGTGGTCGCTGGCGCAAAGAGAAGGATAATAAAAACTTCAACGCCATCTATGCGGCGACATGAACGAAGAACGGTTCCACAGATTCCCGCTCAAACTACGACATTCAAAAAAAGTCCGCTCACCACCAGCAACAACATTGTACAACAACTGCAATATTATTTAATACGAATTTTTCAAGAAAAAATTATAAATTCAGAAACAAAAAACTCTAAACGAAAAACGCATTGGGAAAGCAATATGGGATGCGAATTCAAGCAAAACTTCACGCTCCGCAAGATTCTCACCAACTAAATGAAATTCATAATGTTCTAAACATCTCAATCCTCCATGGATCAGCTTGGAGCCAGCAGAAAAAGCTGCGACGACTCTCAAAACAATTACAATTAATTTCAGATAAACATAGAATATAATCCATTTTATTTCGTGTTCCAATTGACCAAAACCACTTAGTTCAATTATTTACCAATTAACTAATTTCATTTCAACCAATACCTTACATATAGAATAGAATGTGTAGTATTCTTCTGATAACTTTAAATTAGCCTTCAAAAATTATAAAACTATTCACACCCTTTTTTCCAAAATTAAAAATCCCACACCTGTAACAAATAAGCCTGATGTAATTTACAAAATCAATTGTATAATTTTTCCAGCAACTTACATCACAATTATATCCCAATAAGAGGGTAAAACAACATATCTATGATTCCAAAAAACCCAAACAAAATCCTACAGCATTGGCCACCCATCATTTTGAACACCAACACAATTTCAACAATCCAAAAATAGTTATTCAGATATCGTGAGATGCGGTCGGGTGTGATGTAGGTTTCAGAAAAACATTTTCTTTATCGTGCCAATCCAAAAATATTAAACACAGAACAAAACAAACAAAAAAGTAACTTTTTAGAAATGGTTTACATCAACTGTGTCAAATTTAGCACATATTACACATTTTCAATGTTTTCAAACTTCATGAACCCCGTATATGTGCATACATAAGCATGCTATTTGGCGAATGCCAAGACGAGCATCGCGAGACTTGGCAAATGTTCAGCAGCATTAGCCACCTTTAGCATTAGCAAACTATTTGTCAAATTAAAATCTCATCAGACTTTGCCTTTTATTGCTTCCTCAAATATCCCCCAATGTCCATATCTTGGCCCCTGTTTATTCCAGATCTTCATTGATGTTCTTACATACAATCAGTTACTTCTATTTGTTGACGACCTTAAAATTTTAAAAGAGCTCATTTAGAGACTTCCGTAGTTGCTTGTGTCTCAATGTATTTGTTAAATGTATTTTTTTTAGCATAAATGTATGTTCTGAGGTAGATGGGAAATATTAAATACCCCACAGGCTATTAAAAAAGAAATACAGTTAATATAATATACATTTGCAGTGCAATTATTATTTATTTTCAAAATACATTCAAAGAAAGGAGTAATTCAAGAACTTTATGACATAAAAAATACTAAAGGCACAGAAGTATTTTGTTCAAATTTAATACAAAGATTTCCTCAATATTTAAGTAAAACATTTAAAATTAGTTGTAAAGCTATCACAGTAAACAAATATTTCATAATATAAAAGCATGGCACAGGTTATTAAAAAAAATGTTTTTAAAAGAGTACATGCTCAATAAAAAATAGGTAAGTCTTCATTTTGAGATTATCACAACATACAAGGCACTAAGGCAAGTTACTGTTTAATGACACCCACAACTCTTAACGACCATGTTTTTATATTTTTTAAGCAGCACATTTGAATCATCGACATAGTACAGCACAGATATCGGCGTCAACTTGGTCGGAGCGCAGCATGGCTTTGGAACTTGGAGCGGGTTAATCAGGTGAACGAGCGTCTGAACGATAGCATGATTTGTAGCGTTCATGTGGGCGTTTAAAGGGAAATTGCATTCACCGCTACAATAAAATGCGCCATAGCCATCAGGTGCAATTATCCAATCCTGTAAATGTAAACGGTTTTGCTTAAAGTTAAACCTGAGGCAATTTTGGTCACGATTTAACATACCTGCCATTCGAGGTCACGAAAGCTGACGTAAAGTGTCTGAATTTGACAGCTCCTCTGACTATGCTGCCATATATGAGGTGGTTCTAAAAAAAAAACACACATAAATGATAAAAGAACGGGTGGTCATTGTTTCTTCCAAAATTTTACTCAACATCCATAATACAGAAATTATTTATGTACTATTTTTACCTAAAAGAGGACTACGGCTATAAGGATTTTCAGACTGGTCTGCCTTCTTTTTTCGATTTTTCACTTGCCTCTTGACTCTCTGTTTGCTTTCCGTACCGCCTTGGAGAAATGCTACCATAAATGGCTGTTTGTCTATTTCGTTGTTGTCTTTGTTCCCTGGTAAAGTTGTGATTCCAAGCTTTTCTGCATGGATTATATTACCTGAATAGAGTAAACAACAGTTATTAGTGTGACAAACCTTTTAAGTATTTTATTTCCATTTGATAATTACCTGGAGAATCATGTGGGTATATTCTCAAATAAAGTCCTTTGTTTGAATCTGGGAAGGCTACCCAGTTGGTGAACACACCAGTCACATTGAATATAAGCCAACCTTCATTGTCGTAAGTCGTATTTACAGAATCGACAAACTCCAGTGAATTTTTGCTGCAATCGTTTAATAAAACTTTAACTTCTTAATGTGCGATAAAGTTTGTAATTTAATTGAAATATACTGACTTTTCTTTTTCCGAGAGAACCATGTAAACTGACACAGTAAATAGATTATCACTTTTAATTGTGTAATTAGAACTTTGGTAAAGCCTGAGCTCAGCCCCCATTATCGTCTGGCTTGGCGAGACTTCAGACACATCAAATAAGAGCCGTTTTCCTTTTTCATGCCTCATATTTGGTAAATCTTGATCTGAAAATGTGCAAAATTAAATAAAAAATATAGCGATATTTTATTTAAACAATATTAAAGCATGAGTGAAAGGTTTGTTCTGTAAAAGACTTAACTGTAAAATAATGACCACAAATCTTTTGCCCCCAATGAACTGATCAATCTGATACTTTGGTATTGTGGACATGATAAGCAAAATATCCTTTGTACAAATGTCATTTTTATTAAGCTGTTATAAAATTTGATAATAATTATAATAATGATTAATTAGAGATCGTGCGATGCCTTCTGGTGTGACGTAGGTTTAGAAAAACATTTTCTTTATCATGCCAGCGTTTCGATCTTAATTGACAACATCTTCAGGGCCTGGGATTTACAAAAAATTGTTTAAATTATGCAAATACGTGTAGGATATGAAAAAATGAATTTATACAATGCTAGAAGTTTTAGAGTCAATCAAAGAATGTGTACTCACTCAAAGTGTTTGTTTTCTATGCAGCTGTGTCATTACTGTGTGTCATGTTGAGAGTGTCAGTACGATATTGATGTTTTATGTATAGATACGTTGGATTTTGAAGGAGTGGGGAAGGATGTAGGGATTGAAAAACATTTTTATACGAGGAGTACGGCTTCTTTGAGGTGAAAGGAGCCAACAATGGAAAAGAATGGGTAATGGTTTGGCCTGATTAACCTTTCAGGATTATACGTTAGATGTGAGGACTGTAATGATTGTTTTATATGTTATATGTTTTGTGTGATTTGATGATGATACATGTATGTTATTGATATTGAATTTGACTAATTAGCGTAGCTGCGACTGAGTTTACATGTGTCAATTCTGTAATTGATGCTGTGTTTAACTCTGTTGATGTAAACCATTTCTAAGAAGTTACGTTTATGTTTGTTTTGTTCTGTATGTAATATTTTTGGATTTTTGAAGTCGAAACATTTCTAAGAAATTACGTTTATGTTTGTTTTGTTCTGTATGTAATATTTTTGGATTGAAGTCGAAATTGTGTTGGTGTTCAAAATGGTGGGTAGCCAGTGCTGTAAGATTGTTTAGAAAAACATTTTTTAAACGTTTTTCTACATCACACCAGACTGCATCACGATATCTAAATAATCTTAATTAATGTTCACTAAATACTACACAATTATAATAATAATAAACAGCTAAAAAATAGAATGGGAATGATCAAACTATATTTTCATCACTGCAGCAATGTTTTTTTTTTTTTTTAAATGGGGCGAACAACATGAAATCATTTCAGCCCCCTCTCAATATTCCGCCATCAATCATCTCATTAATTTCATTAATTACACTCTCACAATAGTTTAATTATTTATAAATTCCACATTATATATAGTTAGTTATTTAGGTTTACCAACTCCATAAAAATAAAAATAAAATAAAAAAATGTGTAATGAAACTTTAAAGGTTCAATTTTATAATAAGTTAAGGGTCGGAAAGATCAACAAAATACAAATAAAGCATGAGAGTCTAGGAATAGACTGACTGGGAGGATAGAAAAAAATCAGTGTGGAAAATATTGACAGAAAGCAAGATTTGTGTCGTACTTCCTAATTTTATTGACAAAACTTATAAACATACACATAAACGCAGTTTATACAATTTCTATATGTGAGTAACACCCCCCCCCTTAAGAAATAATAGAAAAGGGGACCCAACATTTGAACCATCCAGGACTCATGCCTGCTCGCACCCTGTAAGGGGCCAAGGCTCTTCAATCAGACCTTCCTCTATAAACAGTCATGATTCAACCCAAATTCTTTTTCCATCTTTTTTTTATGGTAAAGCCATAGAGAATAAATTTTGAATTGTAATATGAGCGTGGTTTAGAATTAATTTATCAGTAATACGTAAAATATTTTACTGGTAATATTAAATCACCGCCTTATTAATTGAACTGATATCAGGAAGATAGAAAACAAAGATAGATTTAGTATCTAATTAATCAAAAATAATTAAACAGTCTTTAGATAGCCAAATCAAAATTATTGCCAACCACTATAAATATACTTTCATTCATTCTGTTTTTATGGGATGCTAATTTGGGCCAAATTTGCCTGTGGATAGTGGATAGACAATGAATGTAGTGAGTGTATTCTAGGTGATGGTTAAGGAATGTCATAATCATTTAAAAAAATATATAATTGATAAACTAAATTACATATTCTTGTATGAAAATTATTTTATTTATTTTTAAAACTTGGAAATTACAATTGAAAGTTCATGAAGTATCCCAAGAAATTGTTGTTTTATTCACTGAAATCTACACTTGATAAATTTTATAGAAAGGCAGCCTTTATTGAATCAGAAATGTTTTATAAGACATGCTGCTATTTATTGAATATTTATCCCCAATTTGACAGGCCTTGGGTACCCTGTGCTGATGACCATCTTTTTATTTTTGCTATAACATTTGGCCACAAGACTCGGTGACATATAGCAAGCAAAAAAATGACTCCCACTGTTTTGCTTATTTAAATAATTTTTAGTTTAAGTACACTAATTTAATAAAAACATATTTCAAAACGCAGGCAGCCTTGTATTTCATGTAAATAAACTTTCATTCCATAAGAAAAATTGTAATATAAAGTGACCTAAATAAATCTAAATGGATCATTTTTTTATACTCAAACAAGCTATGATTATGCCTGGGGCAAGTAAAGAAGTGTATATTTGTGTACTGTATATATTACAGAATTAGACTTCTCAAAGTTTGTTTACTCAGGTGTTTTAGCAGTCAGGGATCAGACCTTATTCTTATCCATCCAAACCGCTTAACGCCCTGAGGCTATCATTTCAGGCCTCAACAAATGCAGTTTTTAACCTAAGCATACTCACACTCATTCTTATATGCACTGACAGGAAAAAAATTCAACCCACTTGTAATAAAAGTTGATATATGTATATCAAAGTTTCACATTTTTTAACGTTGTTTCAGAATTCAAATGAGATTTTTAAAATTCCGTAAAAAGACAACATTGAAAAATCCGTTATCTGTTGATTAAGGATTAAGTGTATTTTCTTCTAATTCATATTCCCAATTTAAAACATAGAACAAACAAATATTTATTGGTAAAAACAATAAGACAAATCAAGGGCAGAATTTTCTTTTACCGAAAAAAAAAAAAAAAAAAAAATCAATTGGGTGGAATTTTTTGCCTGTCAGCGTAAATTCTTTCCTATAAGCATAATTTCTCAGGTGGAGACTGATAGGATAAAGTAATTAACTTTTATTTGCACACTAGTGGTTCTGGGTCCAAATCTTGGCATAGCCCATGACTTTTTAATTGAATTTGAAAATAATGTGAAAAAAAGTATTGTAAAGTAGTTTGAACCCTCATCCATAATACCCAATGGGTTTATACCTTAATCCCTTTTGTTTGACAGGAAATACTTTCCTTTTTTTAATCTACCTGAGGGCTGATGGGTACTCAATATTCCGCACCTCCCACACTACACATACACGCCAATAAATATACCCAATCTTGAAATATATTTAACACAAAATACTGTATTACATTTAAAACTGTACAGAGAAAAGCATCCCCACATCCTCCAAAATATTGCTCAAGCTCTCAATACGAATGACTATAGATGGCTTTTGGTTAAGTTTGAACAAGTTTGGTGGCAGTTTTTTTGCTTGGATTAGATCCTTTCTCTCCGAGAGAAATTTTAAGGTAAAGCTTACAGGTCTACTTTTCAGAACCATTAAAGCAACATCTGGTGTCCCCCAAGGATCTCACTTTGGACCAATTTGGATTTTTTTTTTTTTTTAACATTTCAATCCGCCTACCAAAACATGTTCGGATTAGCATGACTCCAATGTATTTTAAATGAGTATTAAAAATTGTTGTATGCCATTCTAACAAAACAATTCTGATTTTAACTTAAATTATAAACCTCTTTCTGGCATTTGTTTGTTTTCACATTCTTTGGTGCAGGTCACCCACCCCAACATTCCTGCACCATAGGTCCATTTCATGTATCGTCATCCTAGCCAGGGTCTGTCTCAATCAGGTATTCTGCTCAAAAGCGGGATTTATTGGCTAAGTGGTAAAAAGTTGCACTCACTGTCCATATGAGAGCAGGCTATTAGTGCGAACCTCAGTGCCATTGGGGAGAAGGTGAGGAGCATTCTCAAGAGCTGATTGATCCCGAGTTCCCTGAGTGTCTTATAATACGCTTACGTACACATCCTCCTGTCCCACTAATACACCCATCGCTCTAAAAAATATTTTGTAGTGTACCTCCATACTCCTTATTTTTGGGCCTTGAAGTCTGCCATCTGATCAAATGCATCCTCAATTACATACACCATTGTGCAGTTTAGGACAAATACACCAGCCTCATTTGTGATAACAATATATGGCTGGAGACACGTCCCATCCCGTAACCGGTAGAGAGTTTCAACGGCAACCTACACCTCGAGTCATGGAGATGATAAGGACTTAAAGGTTCTTTGATATTAGTGTTTGTCTTAGAAAAAAAAAAAAAAAAAAATACAGGATAGGTCGAGTGCCATGTATCGTCATCCTAGCCAGCGTCCATCGCATTCAGGTATTCTGTTCAACAGCTGGATTCGTAGGGTAATTGGCTAAAAAGCTGCACTCACTGTCCATATGAGCGCAGGCTGAGTGTGAACCTAAGTGCCATGGAGATGACAAGGACCTAAAGGTTCTTTGATATTATGTTTCTCTTAAAAAAAAAATCATTACGGGTTACAAAGTGTGTTTGAAGGAAGTGTATATCTTGGATGACCGTGTCCAGCATTTTGACGGACGACAGAGAGGACAGGCAAGCTGACAAAAGTATACTTACGCCTACTCGTGAAGCTCATGATGACATCGCTTTCGTCGATGGCCTGGAGGTCGTTGTCGCTGATGTTGAACTGGCTGCCGCTGGTCTTCGTCTCAGAGGCCGAGTCGAGTAGAGACTTGTAGACGTCTAAGAGGAACATAGACGCCGAGCCGCGGTCGATCCTGTTTCCCGAAGGACGAGGCCGGTCCGGGAGTCCCAGCAGGTTCAGGATCTCATGCTGCACCTCCCGTTTTTCCTGCCGGGTCAGCACCCTCTGGATCAGAGTCTGGTCGATCCCGTTGTCTATGTACAGACCGGAAAGCCTCGCAGCCGACAAAGCGACCAACTGGCAAAGCAGCAGCTTCACCAACGTTAAAGATCCCATTATTTCTTCCTCGAATCACTGGATGATTGGAGAAACTGAACGTTGGCACATGTGACCGACTGTTTAAAAAGAGACACTCGACTATCTTCTTGCCTGGAAGTAACTGACGGGTCGACGAGAGACTGTTCACTGTTGACTGTTCACACTTAACTGTCGCGGAATAGGGAAATGGAAATAAACAAGTGAAGAGGGCATCGAGTCAAAACACTATCGATACCGAAATTCCAAACGTGATGGTGGTCCGTTACCAAGGTCATTATACAGCAGGTAGAAAATCTTAGTTGAAATCCCCAACCGCACGGCACACACTGGTTTAAATTAACAGTTCCGCTCTCCTTCACTCCCTTTTTTTTAAATTACCATCAAGCCCCTGTACGTCCAAAAAGCAAAATATCGCAAATGACCAAAAAAAGAACTCTAGGCAGCAATAAGAGCCAAAGTATCCTATGGCTCACTGATCTTGTTGACCAATGTATTAAAGGGTCAAAAATAATAAGGACTGTAAGGAGGAAAAGCGGAGGTGATCGTTAGGGCAATGAGTAAAAGGGGTTTTTCTAAATAAATAAAAAAGGAAATACACAAGTTTAGTTGATTTAATAGTAACCAACATATCCACTAACACTCTTGCGAGTCAGCGGATCGCCTCCCCAGTCAGCATGATTCTTCCCCTTTTTCAGAAATCTGAAAACCTTTTGCCTTTTTTTGTCCCATCTTCCTTAATCTTGAATATCCATTTGGTTTCATTGCTTTCTCACCTGGGGGCGATTCTGCTGGATACCAAGTATTGAGGTGATTCAGAGACTTTAATTTCTTTTTTATCGCTTCATTCCATTCAGGTGACGTTATAACTGTTAGGCTCATCGGTTGAAGAAAGGAAACAATAAGCTGTACACGGCTCATAATCCATTATATTTAGTGGTCTATTGACTAAATAACTTCTTTCAATTAATTAATCTTTTTATGTAAGGTCTTGGTTGAGATGAAAAAATTAGTGTTATGAGCAGGATTCGAACCCACGACCTTCAACTCAATACACCACTGCTCTAGCCACTTGAGCTATTATGACACTAGCTCAAGTGGTTAGAGCAGCGGCGTATTGAACCGAAGGTTATGGGTTCGAATCCCGCTCGTGACAGTAACTTTTTCATTTCAACCAAAACCTTACATAAAAACATAAAAATTATTGTTATCTTATTAATTTTTCATGGTTTATGGGCATATTTCTTTAATATGTTGCTAAACCTGACAGGATTACTTGTATTGGTAACATTAGAAGATGGTACATATAATTTTATACCATCATTTAGAATAGAATAAAAATCTTTAATATTATCATTTAAATCATCATTGTTAAAATAATTAAAAATTATTCAATACGTTTTCTAATGAATGATGTACTTAAATAAAACAAACAACTGTTTAAGAAAAAATCCTTTTGCATTATTTACATTCTATAGTGCTGTTAAATATAATTTTAAAATTATAGTTGAAAATCTATTTGGTTAATTTGTCATGACGCCGTGTGAAACGCCTGCTGCCCTCTGTAAGAACTTAACGTCCTCATCAGAGGTTCTCCCACTTCCACTAGCGGCATCGCCCTTCTTCGTCAATCGTTATCGCCGAGGCAGTCGGGAATAAATTTCCACCCTCTGTGTAAGACGTAGTTGTCAGTTTGGTACCGAATCTGTTTTCAAATCGTCCGTCGGGTTTCAGTAGAGTTGAAGACAACCGCACGCATTCTTCAATAGTTTTGAAAAATCCGGCAATCCTTTTAAAATGACCATCGTCACGAAACCTTTGAGCGAGAAGAAAAACGAGAACAAAGAGCCTCTCGTCGACGGGTTCAATGTCGATGTCGTTTCTGTGAGTATCCGTCAGCTTTGGCAAGTCAGTCGTGACGACGAATCTTCGACTGACTTCCAATTCACGATTTTTTTTTTGTTTTGTTTATTAACTGTGTCTTGTATATTAATTCAATTATTTCATGTCAATTATTACGTAACGAATCGTAATCGCCAAAGATTATTTCATTAAGTTTCCTTTTTTTCCTCCATATTTTTATTTGATATATTTATTTTGTTGAAACTCACAGAGGAATTTGTTAACGTTGTTTCACAGTGAAATGTTATTTATAAAATAATTGATAGCAGCATTTCATAACTGAAAGGTAAACATTAATATCTTTTTTACAATGTCATGGTACCTTGTAAAATAATACACTTATAAAATACTCTACTTTTAAAACATACCCTATAAAAAATAACAAGAGTACAATCATTTATTTTTTTATGAATATATATTAGTTTAATGATTATATTAATGTATTTTTTATGTATTTGTAATTAAATTAATGTATTTTCTTTTATTTTGTAGTGAAAATACATTAATTAGTTTAATTATTATACAGGGTATCAAGCTACTCAGGTCACAAATTTTCCCAATGAATTTCACACCTCCATGGTGACAAAAAAGTTCTTATTGTCCGATTCTCAACCATTTCGCAGATATTCAGAATTTTTTTTCAACTATCTGCAGTTTTCAGTTTTCTGAAAGAACTCTACAAGTAGCTCTTGAACTATTCGTTTTTAGGAAAAAAAAGCGTTGAAAAGTGCATTAAGTTTCCTTTAAGAAGACACCATTAATTTTTGGTAAAAACAAACAAACACAAACCTTTCAAAACCTACTAAATTTAAAATTTGTAAAAACTAAGTTCGCAATCTCATTAGAAATATTCATGGTAGAGCTTAGAAAATTGTATAACAACTGCGATGAATTAGCTTTCAAGCAGTATACTCTTTGCTTTAATTACATCGAACCAAATGCAGAAATTTTATGTACAGTGGGAAAAAAAGTAGTGACAGTGTAATAAAAGGGAGAATGGGTTAATGTAGTAATACACTATTTGTCCTGGGCAAAATTTATTTCCCATGTTTAACCTAATAAAAATAATATGCTAATAATAAAAGCACAAAAAGAAATAAAAATGAAGCAAAACACATAAAATAGAGACGATAAATATGGCGAACTAACGACCAAAGGGGAAAAATTGGACAAAGTATCTACAATAAACACAGATAAAAGATAAAAAATACAACAATATAGAAGTCGTAAAACATAACTTTAATATAGTAAAAAAAAGCACACAAAAAGAAAAATGAAATAAAACATATAAAATAAAGAAAACAGGGAACAATCAAGGCAAAAAAATTGGACAAAATATTTACAATAAATTATGTGCATATCTACAATAAACAGAAAAAAGAAAAAAAAAAAGTAAAGATCAAACAAAACACATAAATTAGAGATAATAAACTGTGAAAACCTAATTACTCAAATTTTTCTTTTTGTTCTATTTTATTGTTTTTTATATTATTTATTTTTTAATTTAATTTTTTTTTTTAATTCAAAAGACACTTCGGTGGCATTACAAAATTAAAAGGAAATGATAGAGCTTGCACTAACAAGTGTTCATGAACGGAAAATTCTTGATTGAATTTTAATGAGCAAATAACAAAAAAAAAAAAAAAAAAAGAGGCCGTTTTGAAAATGTATTTTATTCACGTATCTGCTCACAGCATATACACGATATCTGCTTTTTAAAATTTTTTTTTATTTTTCTTCTAGAGTAAGTTAGTCATGTCTCGAAGATAAAGCAGGATTCATCATTCTCACAATTTGTTATCGTTGTTTTTTTTTTAATCGTTTTAATTTTTAAATTTTATCAAAGTTTGTTGTTATCATTAGGTGATTATTTTCAATTGGCGAATCTATTCTTTTCAAGCTAATAAAAAAAAAGATTGTATTGCTGTTCGCTTGATATAACGATTAAACCAAAAGTAGCATTAAATATTCTAATTTATTGATTGTTCAGAAATCGTGAGATGCGGTCTGGTGTGATGTAGGTTTCAAAAAAAACATTTTCTTTATCGTGCCAACATTTCAATCTTCATTGGATCATCTTCAGGGCCTGGGATTTACAAACATTGTTTAAATTTAACAAAAAATGTAGGATATGGAAAAAAGTTAATTTATACAATGCAAAAAAATATTTTTTATTGATAATTCAGAAATCGTGAGATGCGGTCTTCTGAATAATTATCAACTAAGTCACTAATCACCACATATTTTTTTATATTCAATCAAAGTATTTCTACTCAAAGTGTTTGTTTCTGTATAAACACTTTGAGTGAGTATAAATACTTTGATTGAATATAAAAAAATATTTTTTGCATTGTATGAATTAATTTTTTTCCACATCCTACATGTTTTTGTTAAATTTAAACAATGCTTGTAAATCCCAGGCCCTGAAGATGGTCTCAATAAAGAAAATGTTTTCTGAAACCTACATCACACCAGACCGCATCTCACGATTTCTGAATAATCATCAACTAACGGTCACTAATCACTACACATTCTAACTGAATTTAGAATCTCTAGACATCACAGTGTGCTGTTAATATCTTATCACGCTTTACAATGTCATGCCACATTTTGAAATAAAACAGATTTCTAATATACATTATCCTCCCACAGGAAGAAGTACTTTATAATTTTTTTCATATTGGAAATAAATAAGTTAATAGATAGTAATTAAATTAACCCTGTTGTTGTACAATTTATTTAATCACAGTTTCTACCTCAGGGCAGCATTTTCACGGCAGAATTGTAAGTGATTTGGCATTTTAAGCGATGCGAGACAATGGTGGCTCTGTTTACCAAGTCTGCACTGACCCATTGTGCTATGGTTAAAGATATCTCTGAAGTGATGGGAATGCAAAACGGTGGTGGTTGTTGTTAGGGTACTCGAGCACTTATGTCTTGATGGTAACAAAAAGGTTGACGATGGGACCGAGGCTAAGATATCAAACCCCCACACTTAACCACCACAACGATCTGACCCTCTTTGTTACCTAATAGTCCCAGTTTGTTAATGAAAATCAACTGGATTTTCCAGAAGAATTTTTTTTCCAGAATAATACTTTAACTCGTTTTATAGTCTGTCTAGGGTAATAATTGAGGGATTTTTTTGCAGTTTTTGCACCATTTTAAAATGTCTTCAAACTACCTGTTTACAGTAGGATGGGAAACTTGCCTGGTGTTGCTCAAGGATCAACAGCCATGGCTACTTTCAAGCCCACTATCAAAATTCCTAGATTAATTCTACTCGGGGTCATTACTAAGTACATATTAATATTAAAGAATAAATATGAGTGTTAAAGAATGTAACATAATGAATGAAGGAATGGACTAAATTTTCTTAATATAAATAGTCCTGTCTAAATAGTCCATTTTTGTTTGTTTTTTGTTTACTTGAAAATTTTTGTTTATATTTGGTTCCCTGTCAGAAAAAGTATAAATACTGTAAACAAAAATAGGTATCCTTTAATTACAGAATGACTCTGAAAAGGGACTGCCAGTATTCCCACGACCTGCAGTTAGGCCACCTGCATTCGTAGTCCGCAAGAAGAGGGTGAATGCAGCGACGTCAGCATGCCTTTATGTCACGGCGTTGATTGTCCTGAGCTGTGGATTAATCACCGGTCTTCACATCTACAGTCAGTTCGGACGTTTGATGACAGCACAGGTAACCGTGATACCACCTACAGCGCCTACGTCTGTTAATTATTTTGAACACTGCCTGTACATTATTTTAGATGCAGCTTCTGTCATGCCGAATCCCTTACAGCACCATCCTCCACAGTGACGAAGAATTTGCTATGCCTTTAGTTAGTACATCGATCATATTTGTGGCTTTAATCCGTTATTAACACTTTTTAATAAATCACTTTCGATTTTAGCAACAGATAGATGATAAGGAGAGATATTTCCATGAAGACTTTGAGATTGACTACAGCCATGAAAAGATCAATGTACCTGATTTCAGCGGTAGCAGAAACAGCAAATTTATTCATGATTTCAGTCAGGTAGGCTGAAATTTTATAAACATGATTATTTTTGCATTGTGAAAGTTTAATGAAAATTCACTGGCGCGTCAGTTGTTTAATTATATATTTTTTTTTAGAACAAAACTGGCATTGTTGATGTTGATGGCAAAAGATGCTTTGTTATGCCATTGAATCATACCAATGTTTTGCCTCCAGAAACACTTTACGATCTCATCAAAAAAATGCAAGATGGTATGTTCACATAAACATTATCGAATAACGTACGTTTGATATTTTTACGGTGTTGTTTAGGATACTACGAAATAAACACGGCGGTGATTAGAGATACAATGAGAGTTGTACTGCCTGCGATTGAGGACCGATCGTCACTCGGCATCTACATAAGGAAAGAATGCCAGGATTATGCAATCTATAGACTGGAAAAATTCGATTCCAGAGGTAGTAATACTGACTCAACCATGTTTATTATTTAGAGTAGAAAACAGAGAATAAAAATTTGTTTTGGTCAACAGTTTACAAAAGGAGCGCAGAGCCTGAAATCAAGTTTGTCGCGTTTGCGGGCAAAAATACACAAGAACTTCATATAGTCAACTTTGCTGAGCTTGAGACGCATGAAGAGCAAGTACCCGTTGCAATGGCATAAGGGGAAAAAATGAGTCTTTTTTATTATTCATTTTATAAAAACTAAACTTTAATCCACAATAGGTTATCATATCATAAAAATAAAAAAAATAAAAATAGTGAGAAACTTTTTAGCTATGTGTTTTAGATGTTATTAGAAAATAAATACATATCTTATTTTGTTTGTTAATCCACAGTTCCCTGATGGTGGCTTTGACATTTTTAGCTCCATATTTTCTAATTTGAACCAAATTTTTATTTAAAATTTAAGTATTTTCTTGAGTACTAAGTAGGAGTTGCCGTATTAGTCTTATATTTATTCATCCTTCCTTTATAGATTTTTGAATACAAAAGTGAGCTAATTATATTTGTTGGGTGTTGTTTATGTACCCTTCCTACATCTTCTATTGAGGGCTTATTACTCGATATTGCATTTAGTGTTTTTTGGTGTAGGTATTCCATTCCACATATTTACCGTGTATACTTTAATGTTGTAATAAATATTGTGCACAAAAAATATTGATGCAAGTAATTTAGGGTAACGAAGAAAAAATAAACTTTTTTACTTACTGTAGTATTTTACTACTAACTGTAAAAATTTACCTGCATACGTTTGACCTAAACATGTTGAATCTGATAATTGTAATTTAGGTACCTGCAATCGATTCTCCAGTTTGGTTTTCAATAAAGATTAAGGCTGTGTTTTGTGTGTTGTTCAATTTTTGTAAAATTTATTAAAAAATTGTGTAGAAGTTTGTTTAACCAGGTCATTATTGTTTGTACAATTTTTGTTGTTAATGCATTGTAAAATTGTAACAAATTGAACCCACGGAATAAAGAAGACATCTTAAAATACATAACACGTAATGTTATTCAATTGTGAAAAAAAATCAAATTCAGTTAATAATTTGTTGTTTTATGCAAATATATTACGTTGTCCGATTATTCTTTTGTTTAATATGGTTATTCTATATTTTTAGTTTTTAAGGCTACTTTTATTGTTTTTTCTTTGGGTGCGAGGAGAGAGGATTTTTATTTGAAGTTCATTCCTCTTTTCCACTATACGTTATTTTTATGTTATTGAGTATTTGAGATTACTTATTGAGAAGGAGAATTTAATGTGATAAACATGCTGTCCATTATGAACAATAAAAACCAATCAGTAAATAGATAAATCTTCATCATAAGGTTATAACGGATATGTCTCGGAGCAAATTTAACAATAATTATTTCAAGGGACATCAGTGGCCGCAACGGTTTAGGCATTGCCACGGCGCTCATCACTGTAAGGTAAAGGTCCCGTGTTCGAATCCTGCGGCCCTGCATTTGAACCTGATATGCTTACAAATGGGCTTTTTTTAAAAACACCGGCACCCCGAGGGTTTATAATGACCTCTGCTGTTGCGAACCCTCGTAAAAAAAAAAAAATTCATTTAGTAAAGCATCATTAATCATCCTTCGATCGACCTAATAACAGAATAATGAAGTAATTATGAAGACATAACAAAACAAAGCATAATGAAAACAGTTCAGCCGACGATCCAGCAGCAATGTGGAGGTAGCTTCATGATCATGATTGCTTCATTTGAATGCTTACTAGTTGTTCTTCGTTGTAGCGTACAATTTCTATTATAATTTCAATTAGTTCCGGGAAATGCAGGTCATTGTACAGCAAAGAATCCGGATGTACCATTGGGCTTCCATGGCTAGGTGATGCACTTTATTTTGGATGTCTTGATGATTCCCTATAGATCAAGGACATATTGGGTGAAGAAACATTACGTACAGCAAATGGTAGTGTTAACCCATCATCTAGCTGAAATTGTGTAATCTGCTCACAGTTCTCAAACCTGATGTGCCCAGAATGGTTTTGAGTACATAAATCCCAGGTATCGGACATGATCGCTTAGGGAAATGTTGATGTCGCTGAAAGAGATGTTTCTTCTGTACGTTAATGTTACCAGTGTGGATTTATTAATGTTCATGACTACTGTAAACCAAGAAGCTACCTGATATAAAAAATTTGGTATATTGCTTTCTGCCTGGCAATCCAGTAAATGTGGTTTTAGGGTTTTAGTTCAAATAGCTGCCCTTGACAAGTGCCTTCTCAGAATGGAAATACACATTGCAGGACATATCTTCTTTTCTTCATAGGTGTTGGGAATTTTATCTGATTCAGTGCAGTTGGTGAGGGCAGGAGTGTAGTGGTCTAAACCCATATTGGATATTAGTAGAGGAGTAAAAAATGATCAATTTTTAGAACGTAATAGTTGTTTTAAGATTTTTGAAAAGAGCAGTAGATCGACCTGAAGCTAGTAAGGTTGCAGGGGCTTGTTAAAACTAATTCCAGGTGGTGGATTCTTGTTGTAAGAGGTTGATCTCTTCCAAAATGTGCAGTCATGAAGAATCCCATTAAATATAGATTACTATGAGATTTCGATTGGTTGCTGGCATGCAGAATACACAGCAGTATGTTCTTGACGCCTAGGCTAGGCCTTGAGATTGTAGAAAAATAACAAAAATAATTGTAAAAACATTTAATTTTTATAGAAAGATCATTGGTAACTAAAGATGATATCTAATTTATATATACATTTTGTACAGTGAGGAGAGAAACAGTTAATTAAATCTGTTAATTTTTCTTCTTTTTTTGTTGTGGTACTTCAATGCCAGATGCAATCTGATAGGCTTCGACTAACTTTTCTTGAACCTCTGGGAGAGTCGGTGAATACCTACAATATTCCATTGTAAATTCACCTTTGCCCTGAGTCATAGATCTCAGTTCCCCGACATAGCCGAACATATCGTTCAACGGGACCTAAAATGTTCAACGTCTCTTGTAGACTTTTTAAATATATTAAATAAGTAATGATATCTACCTCACTCGTGATTGTGACCCATTGATCAATCCCGTCAATTCCTATGATGATGCCGTGTCTCTTGTTCAGCTGTCCGATGACAGCACCTTGGAACTCTTCCGGGACGGTGACTTCAACAGTCATTATGGGCTCCAGGACTTGCCAAGTACCTTGTTCAAAAACTAAAAGAAGAAAGAAAAATGTTTAAAAGTTGACTATGCGATCAGCCATAAAAGATTAAAGTGCTGTACCTTGTTTTATGGCTCCTTGAATAGCCAAGTTAAAAGCAAGTTCACTCGAATCTACGATGTGGTGAGCACCGTCTTGTAGTTTCAAACAGAGCCCAGATAATTTATGCCCCGAGAGAAGGCCTTTAAAAATTAATTATTGCTGACATTATTTCAAATAGCATCATATTGTAAGCTGGTTCAACATAAGTTAGGAATAGAGTTTAATGTAAGTTAAAAATAGTTGAAAGGCATTTCAAATATTGTTGAAAATAAGGCTGTAAATCTAGTTGCCCACCCAGTATTGAGCGAAGAGAGATTTCCCACAAACCTGGGGACAGACAAATAGTCCCACTAAATAACAAAAGCTGAGTGTGAAGATCCCCAGAAGGGAATCTTAAACGGGGTTGTAAAAATTTAAGTTTGATATAAATATTAAAATTAGACATAGAAATAGGTTAGCTAATTGTTGGGAAAGCGTATTGTGCCAGGGTGAGTAACTGGAGGTGGCCTGGAATCGCGGGAGCCGACCCGGTCCTTCTTGAGAACTCCAGACGCAGCTAAAAAACAAAAGAAAAAGCTGGCAAAATAATGACAGCTGGACGTTCCCGATTGAGAAATGTGGGTCGATCCCGGGGCAATCACCCTAGAAAAATTGGCTGTTGTGCTGACGAGTGGCCTTATTGCTCAACCCTCAGGATTAGCTGATGCCCGGACTCATCCGAAATAGCTCAATGACCTGGAGAGGACAAAGGACAATCGGGTCACCCGGAAGCATAGCAGTATTTTCGAAATGCAACTGTTCCCCACCTCCTCCCTGAACGGATTGATATAAAAAAGACAATCAGAGAGAATCCGGGCAGAGTCCGAGGAGAGAATCCGGGTGGAGTCCGAAGAGAGTCTGCAGTTGACTCAGTCAGAGTGTCCAGTGGAGACGACGAGTGAGTCTGTCAAACGGAGTAAAAAGGGGAACTGGTGCGGCAGATTAGTCAGCGTAGTTTGCAGGATCCGTACTACCGAACCGACGAAACCGATGCACGTATTCCAGTCCTGTGAGTACAAATTTTGTCAATTGGTTTGCGGGAGATTTGGAGAACAGTTGGGCGATTTCGGGCTACTTTTAGTACTACAATCCCAATAACTAAGCCCCTAATATTAAGGTTTCGTTATAGAGAGTAAGAGCATTAGTTATATCTAGAATTAGTCTTCCAGTAATAAGTTTTGCATATGAATTGTTTAATAGGAAATAAGGGTTGCTATTTATAAGAAGGGTTAGGGCGTTATTCACTAGTTGATTATACATATTGGGAATTGTACAGTCATATCAAATAAAGGGACCTGATTGTTCTGGCTGAATTGGTGTACCTTTCCCCCAAATCTCCTTGTCCAGAGTTAGTAGTAAGTAAAGGGTGTTCACCCGTCAAGCCGGGCAACCTGACAAATCTTACCCCTAAAAGGCTTGACGGGCCTAGAGTGGAGTAGCTTGCTACCCTCTCGGAGCACCCTAGCGAGAGATGGTATTCGAACTAGCCGCGAGCCGCGCTCACGGAAAAAGGGAAACCGCTCGTCACACTGAGGAGTTTTAGTGTGGAAAGGTTGTCGCAGACACAGTTCAAGCTGTCGAACACCATAAATTTAGGGTCATATCAGCCTGGGTGGTCGTTGTATACTCTTTGCAGGAAATCCTCTGACCTGGGACTAGAGGAAACTCCTGAGATTTACGAGAGATTGTGTGGCCACCCAGGTCATTATCGACCCTTGCAGGGAGGAAGCTGACAATTTGGCCCAACGGTTTGTGCTTTTCCTATCCTACTGATTGTGAAAACGGTATAAAAAGGTGATTTAGGTGATTTGAAAAGCAGTCAGTTGATCTAAGGACTCAGTCATCAGCAGTCAATCAACCACACTCAGTCGGGGACTAAACCAGCAAGGACCTTACATAGTGACAAGTCGAATAAAGTCGACTGTCTAAGATCCAGAAAGTTGCGGGAAGCTGGTGCTGTTGAGCATTGTTTGGAGTAAGACCTCTAGTAAATAAATTTATCCCTCGAGTTGTAGTTTACTTGACTTTTTGACTATTGGTTGGTTACAATCCAAAGATGGTCCAGTGTGGAAATGTTTCTATGTACTACCTTTCTGGTTTATTATAATTTTGCACCTTACAAAAAAAGTAGTTAAGCATTATGCTGAATGTACTCTTATTACTTAGTGATAAGCACATAGAGTGCCTGTTTACATATGAACATTAAAAATGGTAACGGTAAAAATAGACCTTGGACTAGGTTTGACATGTTGACTGGCCATTTTGGTTACATTTGACAGAAGCCAATTGTTCAGGTAAAATAACTATGTGGCACTTAAAAATAATGAAAATGATTTTTTATTTTCATTACGTTTATCTAAGAGATATAAATTATATGTCGGGACATTTGTGTCCCTCACAGCGTTAAATGAAGTGGGCAACTCGCAGAAAGTTTGTTCAATTTGGGCATGTAGTTTAATAAAATTCAACTTTATTGAATTACAATAATTTTTCCTTTATTTTATGTAATCATATAAACTGGGTACCCCTGGGTGAGATTCGGTTATTGCATCTCGGATGTTTCACTCTCCCCAGGGTTGACCTGTTACAGTTTTTGAGTGGCTCAAATTCGCGGCCCTTAATTTGTTTGCTAGGCATGCATGGAACTACAGATGAGTTAATTAAGGAGTTTAATTTTTGATTTGTATTGTATAATCTGTTTTTCTATTCTCTCTTTCGCATTTTAACAGTTATTTCTCCTTTTTTTTTCATTTTATTGCCTAGGCTATAACTTTTATCTTATTTTATTGTGTATTTTTTCATTTCTGATTGTTTAATCAACGATCTATGGCAGATAGATCCAAGATCCATGTCCTTAAATGCTTTGAAATCAAAATTGTCTTTTTTCCATTCTTATGTTCAATAAAGAAATTATTATTATTACTATTATTATATAAACTGGGTAAATAATTAATTAAACACAACCGTAAAAAAGCAAATTGCAATGTTTTCACTGAATAAATAAAACAAAGAAATTCCAGTTGAAAAACGAAAAAAATGACTCCCATTTTAAGGTGGCCTCCATAATCTTTAGGGATGGTTAGGGATCTAATCTTGGGGAATGGGAATGTACATGACAATAAACACCGTTTTTCCAGGGTTACGAAGCGAAGGGAAAAAATTAGCATTAGGCATTTCGAACAGAATTGTGTTGCAGATAAGTGAAGGAAGAGTTTAAAAGGTGCAAACGGTAGGAAGCAAATCGTGCATCTAGCACTTAGAAGATGATGGACATGTTGCGTCTTAAGCAGTCAAAGTGTTAAAAGATAGGTTGAGTGTTAGCACTATTGTGTAAAATTTAAAATAAAATTTTAAAAAAATACCAAATAAGAAAAGTCAACAGTTACATGATTTAAAATTATAATTTTGGGGCATATTTTTTTTACCTTTTTGTGCCATCTGATAAAAACCCTTTTCTACACCAGGTATAAACTGTTTCGGTACATTGGGACCAGAAGTCTCATCTTTAAAGATCAGCAAAGTGTTCTGATTCGGTGGTAATGGCTAAAAACATAAATCAATATTAAAAAACAATAAAACAAAATTATATTCAAAAATCTTAAATTAAAAAAAAAAAATTACTTCTACAACGCCTATTACTCTGGCGAATTGACCAGCACCACCTGATTGTTTTTTGTGAAGATAATCAAACGAACAAGGAAATACCAATGTTTCTCTAAAAGAAACTTTCGGTTTGCCGAGGGTTACAGGGCAACCGTATTCTCTTTCCATCCTCTAGAAAGAAAATTGTGTTAGCGTTGCGAACAAAAATTTATATTTTTTTATTTTATACACCTGAGCGTATATTTCTAAGTGTAATTCCCCCATGCCAGAAACAATGGTCTCTTTGTTATCAGCGTCGTACGAAAACTGGAATGTCGGGTCCTCTTTGGTGAATCGGGCAACCGCTTTACTAAAACTGTCCCTGTCTTTTGAATGGTTCGGTGTTATTGCCATCGACACCACAGTGTCTGGAACATGAATCGATTCCTGAAATAACAAAGGAGAATAGCATTTATTTAATTTAAATTCAATTTAAAATGTTTAATTACCATAGTTAAATTGAGCTTTGGATTGGTCACAAAAGTATCCCCACTGGCACAGTCGACACCAAAAAGAGCAAATATATCACCAGCCTTGACTTCGTTTACATCTTCCATCTGATCAGCATGCATTCTCACCAATCTTGCTACTCTTATCTGTAATAATAATGTGCATATGTTGCAATCGACAATTTTGTTTTTTAATAAAATTATGAATGTTTGGTACAGTGTTATTTATTAGCCTATAAGCCTATCTTTTACTAGTTATTCTGATTTCATGTAATACAGGACAAAAACTGAAAACTGGTTTGTGTTTCTTTTTATAAAAATGAGAATGACCACAAAACCATACAAACTCAAATGTACTACTACTACTGCTCAAACATTCTTTACTTCCTTCCTCTTCATCCAGGCCTTCCTGGAGTGGAACAGGACAGTGATTTTACCAATTAACTGATTACTGATTTGTGTAAGCTCATATCTGCACGTAGATGTACACTTGTACATAGTTAAGCCTATCACTTTCCACAGCTTGCCACAATTCCAGCTTTGGTGTTCTTTATAGCAAACCTCAAACCAGTCCAGGGTCAAATCTCGGTCTTATACATCCAGCCGCTGAAGATGGGCACCAGAGGCTATCAACAGTTAGGTTATTTCAGCTCCCTACCTATCGAGCAACCTTCCTCTACCTGCCGAACATTTATGCTGGTTTGCCCCAAAAGTTCAGCAAGAAAAAAATAATTCACAATTACAACCAATTCGTTTATAGTATCGAAGGTTATCACATTGACGAGGTAGATGCTATCTCAGATCTCGGGGTTGTTTTTAATAAGAATTGTGATTTTTGGGACCATATCCATGCCATTAGAAATAAATCATTTAAAACTTTAGGATTCGTACTCAGGCAAACTGCTGACTTTAAGAACCCTTTTGCCATAAAATTTCTCTATCAATCTCTGATGCGCAGTCACCTAGAGTATGCCAATGTTTGGTCGCGGAGTTCTTTAGATGGGTCTTACATGATAGAAAGGGTACAGAGAAAAGTCACGAAATACCTGTATTACAAATTATGCAATCACAGGAACTACCATCATTGCTCCTATGAAGCCAGACTTGCTCTAGTAGGCCTGGATTCTCTGGAGGATAGAAGAGTTTTGGCTTCCGTTGTGTTTCTGTGGAAGATCCTAAATAATTTTATTGACTCCCCAGATCTATTATCTTGTATTGACTTTAGGGTTTCTCAGCATCAACTACAGACCCATGAGTTGTTCGGTACTTCACAGCACAGTAAATACGGAATACAGTCTTCCATCTCCACAGCTGTGCATTACTTAAATAAATTCGCTATCAGTGCGGACCCCTTCTCCTCGTCCCTTCAGATCTTTAAAAAAGTATTGAACGTGCTTTAAAATGCAATTGAGGGTTTATTTATTACTTTTGTTGTGCTGTTTATTAATCTATTTATAATATTGATTTTTTGTTAAAAGTGTAAGCGCTTCTTTGATTTTTATATCATTTTTTTAGTAGTTTATATTATAATGATTGTTTTGTTGTGTTGCTTGACTGTCCTATGCCTACCTAACTTGTTTGGACTGTAAATAAAAAAAAAAGTAATTGGCCTTGTCAACCTAGCAAGGTCCTTAATCAGGTGAGTATGACCCTTCTTCTAGGAGTCAAGTCCTCCGAGGTCCACCTATCGACATGCACTTCTCTGCCAATCTGGCCCACCAAGAAAGATGCCACTTTCTTTTAATCATGTTTTTATTGTATTTTTAACATGAGGGGGCTCGATCGTAGTTGTTAGGTCTGGGGGTTGGGTTGTCCCGGCATTAGCTGTGTTACCCAGACAAAAACTTTAGTTTGCAGAGATGTAGTTCATGGTATCTTTCTGACAAGAAACCAAGGAGAGAGTTGACCTAGTAAGCGGAGCCACCATCGTCTTGAATCTCCTCAAATGTGTGCCAAATCTCATACAATTCCTCTGGTTTTAGCTCCACCCATAAAGAGGCGAAAACTGATATTCCCTCATCCAAGTCTAATTAAGAAATATATTTTTTATTGAATTATTTTATTTTCATATAATGATTTTTCAGTAAATTTAATATGGATTTATTCAACTACAATAAGCATGCAACAAAAGTAGCAAGCAAAACCTACTGATTTTGCACTGTAATACGACCGTTTAGTACCTAATGTGTAAAACACATAAAGGAATGATCATAAATAAAATTGATAAGGATTATTTAATGACAATTTAAAATTCATTTACCCTTTTATTATTCCGGACATTATAGATATTTTCACTTTTCTGTAAGCATCCTTGATAACACCTCATGTAAGTCAACTGTCCAAAACGACCCGCTTCAAGCTTAAATGCCAAAGCTACAAATGGATTTTCATTGTTCCTCGCAGGGTTCAACAGAACTTTTTCAGCTTCCCCACTATAAATGTACAGAATTGAATGTTATAAAGTAACTATTTAACACATACTTAATTTACCTTTTTGTATCGTTGTTATTCGCAAAATTTGTCACTTCACCAGGATGAGGTAGATAATGAAGAACGGCATCAAGAAGAGGTTGAACACCACGGTTTTTCAACGCAGTCCCAACAAGAACAGGTGTGAAAATTCGTTTCAAGCACGTTCTCCTTATCGCTGCTTTAATATCCTCTTCAGTCGGTGTCTTTTCTTCTGCAATTTTTTTAAAGTTATTAAGTTGTGAATGCTGTTATATGTTAGGCGAATATAACCTAAAAACATCTCTCCGAGTACTTCATCCACATTGGAAACGTGTTCAATCAATTCCTGGCGTTTATCTTCAGTTTCAGACACCATGTCTTTGGGAATATCTCTTTCCTCCACAGTCTCTCTAAACAAAACAATTACGGTTTTGACATCTATTAAAATCAAGTCATTTAAAAAAAATAATAATGTACCCAAAAGATCCGGTGAAATACAATGCCTTTCTGCTTACTATATCCACAATGCCTTGAACATCTTGTTCTTTTCCGATCTGAAGCTGAAGCAATGCTGCATTGTGACCAAGTTTTGACCTAAAATATCATGTCCTCTCTGTCTTTAAATCTGTTTAATAGCTTTTTATTAAAATTATTCACCTCATCTGGCCGAGTACTCTGTTTACGTTAGCACCCTGTCTATCTAGTTTGTTGATGAAAGCCAAACAAGGCACATTATATCGTTTCATCTGCCGATTCACAGTCAAAGTCTGACTTTGAACCCCACCGACAGCACACAGCACCAAAATTGCTCCATCCAATACTCGGAGAGCTCTTTCAACTTCGACAGTAAAATCTACATGACCTAAAAGTAATTTTACAATGGTAAAGATTGTAACAACTTATTACAATTATTGAATAGGAATTGAGAACCATGAAAGAAGTTCTCTTCACCCTTGAAAAATAATGTTCATAGCATTTACCTGGAGTATCTATGATGTTAATGTTATGCTGTTTCCAAATAGTGTATGTTGCTGCTGACTGAATCGTTATTCCTCGTTGTCTCTCAAGCTCCATCGAGTCCATCGTTGCTCCAACATTGTCTTTACCTTTTACCTGAACACAGAGAATTACAATTTACCATAGAACAAGAGTTACAATTAAAAAATAAATACCTCGTGCATTTCAGATATCCGCCCAGTATAGAATAGAATCCTTTCTGTTAATGTGGTTTTACCCGAATCGATATGCGCCGAAATACCTATATTACGGATTGTCTCCAAGGATTTATGGACGTCATCGGATAAACTTGAGAAATGTATCTTTGTCTGAAAAATTAAAACCACAATAATTTGTAAAGATTTTGTTGTTATTTGTTAAATTATTATGTTAAATATAACGTTATTATTATTATATTAATTCTTCTTAAAGATTTTTCAGATCCTTTTTATCCATTTTTCAGATGGCTAACTAGTAAGGTCATTGCCAGTTCCTCATGTATTTTGTCTTTACTTGACGGGTCTCAGGTAATCTGACAGATAAAACTAAGAACAGGCACACCAGAAAAACTGGATTCGCCTTACTACATTTCTCAAAAGGCATATCCAAAATAAACCAAGAAATTGAACATCCACCAATAATAGAAAGGAACAAAAGAGACATTGATTACTGATTTATATAAGGTAAAATTTCCACATGGGTGTACATATGCACACGTCATTTGTTGAGTTGAGCATATCACTTCTCATGGTTCACCGGCAACTCCAGTTTTTGTAATTTACAATAAATTACCAGCAGGTCTCAAGAATCTTCACCCTGGATGTTGGCAGTTTGAAGTTGGACCTTGATCTAATCTGTCCAGCTGCCGAGGATGGGCTCCAAGGGTTATAAGCGGCTAGGTCATTTCAGCCCTAATCAGTTCCTAAATACAAACCTACTTTTTTTTTTTTGACTGGGGCTTCCGACATCTAGGTCATTTCAGCCCCCAACTAATTCTACATTCTATTTACCCTTTTAAACACTATATTCAAACAAATAAATGCATTCATACACATAAATACATCCATACAGCACACTCATTCTATTTGGTCAGTGGAGTGCTTGATATTCCTCCACCGACCTATACTCAAACTAATCTAGATTGGGGTCGATGGAGTACTTTTATAAATATTCCGCCATCGACCCCGAACACACACTCTTACGCTCTCAACGTCCGAGGGGCGATAATGACGTTATATTTCACTCTTACCCTTCGCCATTCACGCTAATAAATACATGCACTCAGACAAAGCATATAGACACAACACATAAGACATATTATATACAATAAAAAACCACAATTTCCCCTAAAAAGCGGAACAGGGGACTGAAACTTGCTAACGTGTTCGAGAACTCTTCTTAAGTCCGGCGGCATGCCTACACGCCCTCTGTATGGAGTCAAGGGATGACACGCCTCTATTATGTGGGACACATCAAGCAACCTTTCTCTGCATAAGGGGCACCTGCGCGGGCTTTGGCCCAAAAGCAGGTGCCCATGTGCCAACCCAAACCTACTCATTCTTTCATTTCTTCTTATTTACATACCATTTACTCAGTTATAGTGGAGTATTTGATATTCCTCCAATACTCTTTACACCTATTTATATCTGTCAAAATTGAGAATCGATGGGGGTTCTCAATAATTCGTCATCGACCCTCTCACGCTACACATTCATGCCAATAAATTCACTCACTCATAACACACCCTAGGGACGCAAAACTATCAGTACTATATACAATAAAACAACCCCGTCTCCTACAAGAACTGGAACAGGGGACCCAGGTACTGCCATACTCAAGCACAATGCTCATATTGGGTGGCGTTCTTACGTCATTTCTACATAGAGCCAAGGAATTGCACATTTCAATTAGGAGGGGCACATTGAACAACCTTTCTCTACAAGCTGGACATATACAGGGGTTTTGGCCCAAGAGTAAGTATCCATGTGTCAATCTTTCACTAATCTTAATCAGGTGGGATAGCCCTTCTTATAGAGACAGTTCTAAGTGTGCTATTGATAAGAGATTTCTACTGACCCAACTCACTGATGCTGTCACTTTCTTTAAATCATGGTTTTTATTGCATTTTTTAGCATCTGAGAGTGGGGATGTCTCAGTCTGAGCTATCTTGTTACCCAGAGAACAACCACCATTTTACCGAAACGCTCCAGTTCATGGTATCTCTCTTACAAGAGTGTAATATTTTCATATTGGCTTGCATTCCTAAGCGCTCCCTGTAAGGAGCCAAGACCTGGCACTCGACCAAATGTGGCACACTGAGCGACCTTTCTCTTCATGCGGGAATTATAAGCAAGCTTTGGCCCATCTTTAATCGGATAAGGATTACCCTTCTTTTACAAGCCTTGCTGCAAATCTTGCTTATTATTTATTTGACAATATAAATTAATTTTAGAAAACCTGCCAGATGAACTTTATATTCATGAAGTCATGGAAAAAAAAAAAAAAGCATCTACGCTTCTATAGTTTATTATGTGAAAAAAAGAACAAAATTTCTTTTAATACAATATAAGGAAGATCATTACATGTCAATAATGATGAACATACGTTTGAGAAATGGTCTAAATTTTGAATTTTAACACATTTATCCAAGGCCAAGAAGACCATAATTGATTATGGTTAAAAAATAAATACTTTTCAGATATTAAGAATTTGTACGATATTTGTCTTTGTTAGAAGATTATTCTTTCAGCTATTATTCGACAATATTAAGAGAAGAATTAATGAAAAAATAGATTTATTCTGTTCTAATAATTGGACAGTTCTGTAAGTGTAAAACTCACCTTGACGTTTGCTTTCCTTAAAAAACTTTGAGTTTTAAACGCAACGTTTCTGTTTATCAACGACAGCATTTTTATTTTAAATTTATTAATAAGTAATTAAATCGTTAAAAGGGAGAAAAGATCACTTGCACACCGGTTAATAGAGAAAGAGAGGTTACTCCTTAATCACTCGTGCGGCTGAGTTCCGTGGACTTAGAACCTTACAGTAACCGCCCAAAGTAACCACGGGGAAAAAAACCTAACGCAAAACTTAACTGTCAAGAACATGATAAAGAGGGAACATGTCTGTGATACAAGAACATCCACAGTTGGACATAGAAATAAGAAAAATGGAACAAAGGAATGTCCTCGAGTTGAGCAGGATACTGGAAGTGGGAGAGGCCTGGAAGGAGTTCATGTCAATAATTCCAAGCGAAAACGATCCAACTTGTTTAAAATACACCACCGAACAGATCAGGTATATTAATAAATTTTGTGGTAAATCGATTTTGTTTAATTTTTAAATTTATTTTCGAATAGCCCAACGTAATCAATGTATTAGTGAAAACAATTCCTTTTTATCATTAATGCATATAGGACGCTCAGGTGGATAGTGTCAGGGTACACTTCCGAAGACTGTGGGTTCAAATCCCATCCATGACATTGGCTATTTTTATTTATTATTATTATTCATATTATTGCAGTTCAAACCAGTCAAACGGCTCAAAACTGAACAGTCAGTAGTACAAAAACTTAACATAATAATTTAGAATTTAAAAACTTCGCATTAGATAAAAAGAATATATTATTATGGCCATAGGCGGTTGACACATGGGCACCTGCTTTTGGGCCAAAGCCCATGGAGGTGCCCCTTATGTAGAAAAAGGTTGCTCGACGTGTCCCACATACTGGAAACATGTCATGCCTTGGCTCTGTACAGGGAGCGTGTAGGCATGCCATCTAATCTGAAAATGGTACTCGAGCACGGCAGCAGATTTCTGGGTCCCCTGTTCTGCTTTTTAGGAGAATTTTTTTTTTAAATTGTATATAATAGGTCTTATGTGGTGTGTCTATATGTTTTGTCTGAGTGCATGTATTTATTAGCATAAATGGCGAGGGGTGAGGGTGAAATATAATGTCATCATCACCCCTTGAACTTTGAGAGCGTATGAGTGTGTGTAAATAGAATATAGACTTAGTTGGGGGCTGAAATGACCTAGATGTTGGAAGTCCCAGAAAAAAAAGATTACTAGATAATAACTGCAATATATAACAATAACACTTGTGGCCAAGGAAAAAAAGTAAAATACAAAAAAAAATCCAAAAATCCTTTCTTAGTGGCTACCCAAGTTTAAAAAAAAAATCATAATGACTTCTGCAAACTTCCAGATGCTGAGAACATATTTCAGCCTAATTGCAGCATTAAATATGTATGTTAGTTTAACTATCCCCTATTTTCAGCATTTTATTTATTTATTTAGTTATTTTTAGTATTTCTTCAGTGATAAGGCATATCCTGGAGTCTTTTTAGCAAGAGAATTTTTAATTTTTTTGTGCCTTTTTTTAGTTGTAAAAGCTTTATACCTTCTACATGTGGAGTAGTTATTGATAATAATAATAATAAATCTTTATTTGCAAGAATATACATTATATATAAATTTACAACAAAAAATAATATTTTTGGTACATCCTCTGCCTGCTGTCAAAAAGCAAAGCATGTACTAGACAGCAAGAGTTTTTGGGCAGTTTGACATGAGAAAAATAAACAGAATATATCTTTACAAAAGCATAACGAAAAACAAACAAATAAACAAACATAATTCAGAATAAATGTGTAGCATAAAAAATAATAATAATAAATAAATCTTGGCTCTCACATTAAAATATCTTAATGTGAATGTTTAGCCTTAGACTGGCAACAAGTAAGGCAATTAAGTAAGGCAATTCTCACACCAAAAGAGATAAATGAAATGGCATCGTGGAAAGTGCTTAAACTTATAGAAAAAAGTGCGCTTTCCAAGGTAGGCTATAATTTATACAGTTACACAATACATATACGCAGTAAAAGAAAGAAATGACTTTAATACCCCCCCCACCCCCAGACATAAAAAGTCATTTCAGCCCCCAGTGTTATCATCTAAATCCATTCCATTCTTATTTATTTACACTCACTCAGTTAGATTGGTGGAGTAATTGATGTTTCCCCATCACCCTCTACACATATAACTAATTAATATAATTGAGATGAGTCAATATTCCTCCATCGACCCTCTCACACTACACCTTCATGCTAGTAAATACATTCCCTCTCAATACACAGGGACACAAAATTATCAGGAAGGCAAAAAAAGTCCTTTCTCTCAGCAGACAGGATTTAAGGAAAATTACAGCACACTATACTGGCTACTGCCATTTTAAATATCACCTAAAGAATATGGGCAAAGCAGAGAGAGAAACACGCTGATTCTGTCTAGAAAAACAAGAACATATCCATTGTGAATGTAAATTTCATTAGTGCAGCCACTTCGGTAAGGCAATTCTCATGCCAAAAGAGGCATGCAAAAAGGCACTGTGGAAAGTGCTTAAGCTTATAGGAAAAACTGGATTCGAACCTGGGACCTCACAGAGATTTGCCGAGTCAACTTCTTAACCGTTGCAGTCACTGACACCCCTATAAGCGTGAGATTTATACACTGCGCCACAAAAAATGATGTGCTTTGAAATTGTGCTTTCTTTTTTTTTAAATTTGACAAGGTTTTGAACAATTTCTTTTGTTTCACTACTTTAAAAATGATTTAATAATTATAAATAGACGGAAAGTATTTGTTTTTATCGCCAATTATGAAGCAGAAACACTTTATTCCTAATTTGATATAAAATCCTTAATGTAAATAATCAACAATCTTTTGAAAATGCCTTTATTCACTGTTGTATTGGTAGCACAATACAAAACAATTACAAAAATGCCCGAAAGCATCGAGCAAGTTGCCATTGTAATCGCTGAGGATTGAAGAAATCAGTGTTATGCAGAGTAAGTTTTAAGGTTTGCCTAACCACGCATGGCCTATTCTTAATCAGTTGAGGATGACCTATGAGTCAAATCGTCCGAGGGCTACCTATCAAACATCTCTTCATATACCAGAGCTTCTCTAACAATCCATCCTACCAACACTGTCACTTTCTTTTAATCATGTTTTTAACGCATTTTAGCGTCAGAGGGCTGGAATTTGGTGGTTAATTCTAGAGATTGGGACATCCCAGCCTTAGTCACTTCATCCACCTTTTCATTACCCTCCAGATGTACCCGGGGTACCCAGACGCTCCAGTTCATGACATTTCTCCAAAAAGAGCACATATTTAAAAAAAAGTTTAATAATTGTCTATTAAAACCCAACAAGTGCACCTTTCATTGGTGGAAAATGTACAAAAAAATTTTATATGAATAAAATATGAGATTAGAAGGTTGTAAATGATTATTTCTCACTAAAAGCCATTATAGCCACACCTGAACTCAATAAATAATTACAATTAATTAAGGTTTTTTAGTTGAGATAAAAAAGTCAATGGCACGAGCGGGATTCGAACCCACGATCTTCGGCTAGATACGCTGCTGCTCTACCACTTGAGCTATCGTGACCTCGATCCACTCGGACATCAACTTCCTATCTCAACCCTACCTTTTGAGTTTTCCCTCCTATTTGCCATTTTTAACTTTAAACTCAAAAGGTGGGGTTGAGATAGGAAGTTGATGTCCGAGTGGATCGAGATCACGATAGCTCAAGTGATAGAGCAGCGACGTATCTAGCTGAAGATCGTGGGTTTGAATCCCACTCGTACCATTGACTTTTTTATCTCAACTAAAAAACCTTAATTAATTGTAATGTATTAACTGGTCAAGCGGACCACGAAATTAGTGAATTCAAGTTGAAGACAATTTTGTTTCTAGGATGGTTGAAGATGCTGCAATTAAACAACAGAGATTATGTTCGGAGATACTGTTGGAAGAGTGGGGTACGAGTGGGAGAATTCGCCCTAGATTGAGCACCCTGTACAACCTACTCAGACAATCCGAAATGATACGAGCTGCTGATTATATTTTGGAAAATTTGTTGAAAGGTAGACAAATCATCTTATTTATTATATTTGTTTTAACATTTTCTATTTTAATAACAGGTGTGACACCACCACTATTCGGCAATTTACAAGTACTTGGACATCATGGATATATAAATGAACCAACCGCTCCTCCTCTCTCAAGTGAAAGTCTTTATGAAGACACTGTAGTCAACAATTGTCAAGGCACAACAATATTTTGCCATGAAGATGTTAGGTATTTTTTATTTTTGTTAAAATAATCTGAAAAATAAATTTGTTAAATAAATACTCATTTTGGCTTTAATATGTTACTAAATTGATTTACTGTATAAATAAATTGATCTGTTTTGCTCATAATTAAAAAAGTCTAGTTTATTTTAACTTGAACTTCTTTTTCAGAGATGTTTGTGAAGTCAAGATGTTCAGTTATCATGAGTTATATGAAGGCACTTCAGGATTTTCAGAAAGCCTCAAACTCGGTGAAGGTGGCTTCGGTGTTGTGTACCTCTGCACTTTGCCTTCAGGAGATAAAATCGCCGTGAAAAAGCTGAACCACTCAAGTGCAATTCCAGGATTATCTGGTCGCCAGTTTCGCAACGAACTCCTCACCGTGACTCAGTTCTCACATAAAAACCTCCTTCAGCTCATCGGCTATTCTTCAAACGGGCCTGACTTATGCTTTGCTTATGTGTACATGGAAAACGGTTCCCTTGAAGAAAACCTTAAAGTAAGTCTGAGTGGACAATTAAGGTAGTATGATCGGCATGAGATGAATTACTTATGATTTAATCATCCTGATATGACTTTTGTAACTGGCTTGGTCTGTCAGATTTGTTGACCTATTTTAAGGTCATCAGGGCAAAACAATTTTAAATATGTGAACAGGCGGACATATTTAAGTTTTTTAATATGTCAACTATGTCAATCTGCAGATAGATTTAAGATTTTTTGCCCTGATAGTAACTTTAAAATAGGTTGAAAGCTTGGCAGTAACAACTGAATTTACATTCTTCTTCAAGCCCATACCTTGATCCAGAGTGTTCGTGAGTAAAAAAGTAGTTGATACTTCTAATTCTGAAAACAGAAATGTCTAAAAAATCAGCAAGCTTGCCAGGGTGTGATTGGGGATTATCAAAACACTTATCAACAGATTATTAATATCTGAATAATTGCTAAATTAATGAACTAATTCTACATTTTAGTACACACAAAAAAAAAAAAAAAAATTGAATTAGAGGGCCAGAGTAATCAAGGGTTCAGGTCCCATCATAGCCATAGGCCTTTTGTTTACCTCCCCTTTGCCCAAAAACATAATTCCAAAATATGTTTATTGTGCTCTGGCTAATATTAAAGAAAGAGGCCATTTAAAAAAAAAAAAAGAAGCTGTGTTGGCTAAAATGCAAAAACCTCTTCCGCCTTCTTCCTTCATTGTCCAAAATACTTGAAAGACTCCTAAAGTGCTTAATACCTATCCTATATACTCATAAAATCATCCCTTCTCACCAATTTGGGTTCCGTTCTTATCTTTCCACAGATCAACAAGGTTTCAGAGTTGTCAATATTGCCTGTACTCTGGAGAATGAAGAGTATTGCTTGGGTACATTCCTAGATGTAGCTCGAGCATCTGATACGACCTAGCACTCTGGTTTGCTTTGTCACATCTTTAATCGTACCCATTACCGATAGGTGGGATTATCCCCCTTGTTCTTATGATCAGGGTGGGGGAATTCACTCCTGACCTCTCTTTGCTGCTGTCCGGGACAATTTTTAAAAGTAAAATTCACTCTTTGTCAAGGTGAGTCAAGGCGTGCCCCTTTCTAATTTCCAAGTTTATTTATTTGTTTCAGATAAAGTATTTTCTTTCCTTTTTATCCTTTTGAGATTGTTTATTATATTTTATATATTATAGTTTTTTGCCACATTATAACATTAAAGCCTGATATGAATTATATCGAGCTAATTACACGTTTAATGTGCACTCTTTTAAATGAAACTGTACTTTGGTTGTTTTTANTTTTATATATTATAGTTTTTTGCCACATTATAACATTAAAGCCTGATATGAATTATATCGAGCTAATTACACGTTTAATGTGCACTCTTTTAAATTTATAATATATTTTGAACAAAGAATCTTTTGTTTTGTTAATTTTAAACTTAAAACCTGGAGAAAATTTGGTGAGCCATTTTTTGGGGGCGACCCAATAAAAAGGGGTTACAGCTTTAAAAACTTAAATGCTCCCTACCCACTCTTTATCTTATCCTGAAATCCTGTCTGACTGCTGCTTCAGATGGTGCGACAACGAGTTCTCAGAAGTTAGACAGTACAGATAGATACTCAAGGGAGCACTTTTGGTCCTACCATTTTTTAAATCAATTATACTGCTGACCTAACACAGTAAGTACACATCCTAATACCATCACCACCACCTGTATGGACGAAACGCAATTTTATCTTGTAACTCAAACCTCATCCAAGCTACCGCCAACATTCAAGAATACAACTTATCAAAGATGGTGCAAAAAGTGGAGGACTGAAAGAACAAAAATGTACTCAGCGCATGTTCAGAAGAAAGAAACAGTCTGGCCTTCCACTGTAGACTAACATCAAAGAGATACAAACTTCAAGTCAAATACTTACAGTCTATTCCTAGACAACAGATTGACATGGAAGATTTAAGAGACAACAATTTACTTGGACAACTATAAGGACTTCAAGGACCGAAATCCATCTTAACGTTAAAACTAAAATAACCTTATACAAGACTTATGCGACCACTTTGGACACATGGAGTAGAACTGTATTGACAGAACCGTCAAGCCATCCAACGTCCAGCATATCCCCCTACTTCTAATCAAAAGCCCTCAGATAAATTGTCAAAGCTCTTTACTATCCACAATGGCTTCAACATTCCTTTTCTCCACAAACTGATCTTTCCCTGATTTCAAAAAGTTTCACATCAACCTCTCGATCCAACCCAACCCTACTGCTAGATCCTTCTCTAAACATTCCCTTCTTGAGAACCGGCTATGTTGCCCTAATTGATGATGATCTCGAGACCTCTTTGCCCTTAATCCCTCACACTGAGTGCCATTGTTGACTGGTTTCTCATGGCATGTGTCCTCTGTGTGCAGCACTGGCCTTAGTGTTAGTGCTCTGACCGCGTGAAAAAATGTATAGGGTACATATTAAAAAATAAATAAATATTTGAGTCAATTATAACTTATGTACAAACATATATATTTTAAAACATATCATGGGATCAAGAAAAAAATCAATCTCTAAGCACTAAAAATACATTAAATATATTTATACTGCTTTTCTGTTTCATAGCCTGGAAAAAATTGTTTAGACTGGAAGAAAAGGTACAAAATTGCTTGTGGAACCGCCGAAGGCATTGTCCATCTTCATACTTTTACAGAAAAACCAATGGTGCATCGTGATATAAAAAGTGCTAATATTTTATTAGATCAACATTACATTCCTAAGGTAGGAAATAAAAAAATGTAATAATATTTTTTAAATATTTATTTTAAGTTTTATAATGTAGGTAGGGGATTTTGGATTAGTTCGACATGGGTCAAATGCAAAAAGTACAAAGACGGTAGCCTTGACTTCTACCGTTCTGGGAACTTCGGCCTACATGGCGCCAGAAGCATTCAGAGGTGATATCTCAGTTAAAATGGATGTGTTCAGTTTTGGAGTTGTAAGTATTTAAGGCAAAAAGAAAAAGCCATAAAATTGAATAAAATTTTTCTCTAGGTCTTGTTAGAATTAATAACAGGATTACCACCGTTTGACAGTGACCGTGAAGGTTGTGATTTGGTAAGATTATTTTTATTCCACTCCAAATCGTTTCTTTCCGATTTAAAAGAAAACAAAAATGTTTCAAGGCTACACACGTGGATGAGGCTGACGAATGGGAAACACTCATAGATGTGCGACCAGGAGAAAAAAATAAAACTATAGTACAACCTTTATTCGACATAGCCCAAAAATGTCTTTTAGAGAAAAAAGCTCGACCCAACATGACAAATACATTGAAGATGTTGCAGGAGATTTATAATTATTTGGAAGATTGATTGTTAATTTTAAACGTGTGCCTATATTTTTATATACTGATTATATTTTTAAATAAAAATATTTTATTAAAAACTATTAGTCACTTTATTTAAACTAAATATGAAGTTTGAATAACCTAAGGGCCTTACTTTTCTCGCTGGTTTGGTACAGCAGAATGGTAGAAAGGCTACCCTCAATCAGGGATGTTCAGAATTCAGGTTCAGCACTATCACACTTTAATTATCTCACAAATCTGATAGTGAAAATACATAAAAAAACTAAAATTCTTACTTCTGCAACATCTTTCCTTTTTATTTCAAAACCATTTTCAAGTTTTCATGAATACGTTTTTACTTCGTCTTGATTTAATATAGAATAAAGATTACTGTAGGGGTGTCGGAGGCCGTAATGATCTAGGCCAGCGGTTGGCAAACCGCGGCTCGTGAACCGCATGCAGCTCTTTGACTTCTTGGCTGTGGCTCTTTCATTAAATGTTTGGTGCAGACACAGAGTGAAAAGTATTACAGGTGCAAGAAATTAATTTTAAAGAAAAAATTAATCATGAGATGCTTACTTACCATTGTATTATTCATAAGGAAACACTATTTCCTCACTCAGACATTTCCTGAAGAAATTTGCTCAGCAGGTTCAAAGACTTTAGGAACAACAAAGCAACGCTAGCCTTTGTTAAAAAAAAACCTCTGAATGCCACGGTAACATAAATTAATTTTTTGCCTTTTTATATTGATATTGGCAGCTTTGAAATGTAGTTGCTGAATTTAAAAAATAAATAATTTTGGAGCTCAAAATTCGAGTGTCTTTAAACCGTTTTACAGCTATGGTGAAAAATAAATGTGAATTAAGTTTACAACACAAATGGTCTGCTTTGAAAAATCTGGCAAGGGTAGATATGTAGATTTTTAACACCTGGATGATGATGATCAACCGAAGAAACTAACATTTGCTGTTCTTTCCTTATTTGGGATTACATATTTATGCGAACTTTTCAAGCATGAACTTTATCAAGAGTAGATAAAGAAATCGGCTTATCGATGAGAACTTGGAATCGTGCCTAAAATTAAAAACAACATACAAACCTCACTTACCCCTACTTTCCAGGGAAATGCAAGGCCATATATTTGTGGAATATTTGTAGTTTTTTTTAAGGATACCTTTTATATTATTTAATTTGTTATATTTTTAAATAAATATCTTTATATAGGAATGATACCAAGTTTTATTTAATGTACCATTAAGTAAACTAAGACATATTCAGCAAAGGCAAGCTCGAGTGTGTACTTTTAATTCTAATTATTTCCATAAAAATGTCTACTAAAGCAAAGCTTAAGTTTAAAAAATGGCTCTGAATAAACTTCAATTTTGTATTTTTGTTTATGTTTGGCTCTTTTGGATGACAAGTTTGCCAATTGGCCAACGTAGTCAATTTAAGACTGTTGAAACCAAAGCAGAAGACGTATTGCTTCTTTGTGGATTTGAGAGCTGCTTTTGATGGTGTAGATCGTCGGGGATTGTTTTTAAAACTCATTGACTTAGGATTTTCCTCAATGATGGTCAACACTTTAAAATCCTTATTCTCTGTGGCTTCTGCGAGTGTGCGTGGTAGGAGGGTATTTCAGAGTCTTTTAAAGTGCATTGTGGAGTGCGTCAGGGTTGCCAGTTGAGCCCAATCTTATTCGCTCTCTTTTTACATGACCTCCCAAATGTCCTGGAATGTGGCATCCGTGTAGGTAATACGTCAATTAAAATATTAATGTATGCGGACGATATAGTTATCCTATCGGATAGTGCAACTGGCTTAAAAAGAAATATCAAACTATTTGAATATTACTGTGAACAGTGGAACCTCATAGTTAATTTAGAGAAGTTGAAAATCATGGTATTTAGGAGAGGGGGTAGATTGAGTTCTCTGGATCGGTTTTTTTTTTTTAAATATAAATATTACTTATTATTAAATTAGACAAAGCACTTCTCTTGGAAAGCATCAGTGGCTAAATTAGGTCTAACTAACACATGGTCAGCCTTCCTACTCAAAGAAACTATCCCTATTAAAGTCAAGTATAATATTTTTAAGGCGATAAGTCGTGCAATTCTGTGCTATGGCTGTCAAATGTGGGGATACTAGAGGTTTGAAGCAATAGAAAAAGTTCGACCTACATGAAGATAATTTTGACAGTCTTTGTCTCAATGAGTTGCGATGGCTATTTAAGCTAAGAAGTGAGGTTTTGCACTTAAACTCGGCTGTTTGGATCAGAGGGGGAATTGGGAATCTGTTCTTTGTGTAATTCGCGCTCTATTGAAACTGTATCCCACTTCTTGGCGGAGTGCTCAATCCTGGGTGAGATTCGGTTGTTGCATCTCGGACGTTTCACTCTCCCCAGGGTTGACCTGTTACAGTTTTTGAGTGGCTCAAATTCGCGGCCCTTAATTCGATACGATAGGCATGCATGGAATTACATATATGAATTAATTAATGAGTTTAATTTTTGATTTATTTTGTATAACCTGTTTTCTTTTTTTGTTCTCTTTCGCATTTTGGCAGTTGTTGTTTCTCCTTTTTTTCTTTTTATTGTGTAGGCTATAACTTTTATTTTATTGTGTATTTTTTTGTTTTTGACTGTTTAATCAACGACCTCTGGCAGACGGATCCAAGATCCATGGCCTTAAATGCTTTAAAATCTAAATTGTCTTTTTTCCTTTTTTTATGTTTAATAAAGCATTATTATTATTGTTGTAAGGTAAAGGTCTCCCCAAGGAATGTAAGATTGAATCCAGCGGTCCTGCATTCGAACCTGACATACTTACAATTCTTTTTAAACACCGGCACCCCAATGGTTCAAAAAATTCAGATTTGAGCCGATTGCTTCTTGCAGTCAACCAGCAATTCCAGTTTTTCTGTAATAAAATACTGGCAAGCGCTGAGAATTACCCAGTCTGGATGTTGACAGTCTGTGGTCAGACTTCGGTCTTGACCTTTCCGCCACCGAGGTTGGGCTCAAGAATCTACTAACAGCTAGGCCATTTCAGCCTTCAATGCAATCAATTGCTAAAAACAAACCAATTTATACTCTCATTCACTTTTCACATTCACTCAGTTAGGGTGGTGGAGTACTCGATATTCCTCCATCACCCTTTACATCTGTTATATAACTAACCTCAATAGGGCACTCAATATTCCACCATTGGCCCTCTCTCACTACACATTCAAGCTAATGAATATATTCACTCCCACCACAGGCTAATTACACAAAACTACACAGTACTACATATATAGTAAAACAACCCTGTTTCCTTCAGGAATCAGAACAGGGGATGTAAATACCTGCTGCCTACATGCTCTCTATATGAAGTCAAGAAATTACACACTTCAATTAGGTGGGACACATTGAGCAATCTTTTTCTGCTTGCTGGAGACATTCACAGGCTTTGACCCAAAAGTAAGTGTCCTTGTGTCAATCTTGCACTATTCTTAATCGGGTTAGGATGACTGTTCTTCTACAAGTCATATATAATAAAGATCATTTTTTCTAGGAGATTCTTTATTTAATATTTCATTTATATTGAAGGGATTATGACAAGTTTGTAAGTTGATAAAAATTAAAAAGTCAATGTTTTATTAAAATTTTATTTATTCTAAACTAAAACGAGAAAATCTGAATTTATTGTGGTAGCGTTAAAATATAGAAAATAAAACTACATTTACTGCTATTTTAATTTCACCAAGAAACAGTTTCGAATAAGCTAATAACTGAAAATCAAGTCAAATTTAGTTCAAATACAATTTCAAATTTGTTTATAATTCTTACGTATTTTTTTCTTAAAGAAATTAATGATTGTAATTTTCTTTTATCTTGTTTTTCATATGAGATAAGGCACTAATGATTCTTCCAAAACTTTCCCCCATAAATTGTTTTCATTTTTATCATGGGCTATAAATTCATCGAGTTTAATTTCCTTTTTTGCTAAAATCAAACTTGCTTCTGTTGTTATCATTTTCCAAGCCAGCTGGACGTCCTCTTGCTCCATATACCTACTGCAAATCGCATAGCGGATGAAATATTTGTCTTTGAAAGTTGCCGCATTAACATATATGCGTTTTTTGTTAATTAATGCGGTTACAAGGTCTTTTGTAATCTTATCTTCTCCCTGAAATTTCAAGTTAGTTACTTTCTTCAATTGACATGCTGACATTTTAAATGCTTACTTTTATTCGGAAACAGACAAGGCCCATGCTTGCTGGGGTTATCAGTTCGAACCTGCTATCTTGCTTCACATATAGCTCAAATTGTTTAGCAAGAGAAATATGCTTTCTTATGTATGCCTGTAGGTTCAATGTACCGTAAAGTCTGAGTGTCAACCACAGCTTCAACGCCCTGAATCTTCTTCCCAACGAAATCTCCCAATTCTGTGGAAATATCGTTTCGAATGAATATTTAACACACGACAGTTAACAAACAAGACACTCACACGAAAATCCGGGCACCATTTTTTGTCAGTGTTACACTTCTCTTGGAGATAGATGCGATCAACGCAAAAAGCGTCTATCAGACAATTTCGGTCCTTAATCCTGGAAAATGAAGTTATCCATATTCTTTAAACATATTTGTTAATTAGAAATTTGATCATTTACCAGAACGCGGAACAATCAAAATTGATCAATAGCCATTTATGCGGGTTCATATTGAAACTGTCGGCATATTCTACTCCACCCATTAAATATGTGTACTCTGGGCAAATAAACGCAGCACCTGTCAAATTAAAATTTTTTTTTGACAAATTCTGTCCAACTATAACATATATATAATAATCTTTATATATTCAAAATACACCAAATCTAATCTTTATAATTCCGAACTTTAATAATTAAAATAACAAACATTAAATTACCAGCATATGCTGCATCAACATGAAGCCATACATGTTCATTTTGACAGATAGGACCAATTTCATTAAGATTGTCAAAGGCGCAAGTCCCTGTTGTCCCTAGAGTTGCGACGACCTGAATAGATAGAGTTGATATTGAAGTTTTGAGAACTCATCAATTTAAAAAACAAATTGAATACTTACAAAGCATGGCAGAAGACCTTTCTTTTTGTCTTCCAAAAACGCAGCTTTCAGGGAGTTACCATCGAGCCTGCCATGTTCGTCAGAAGGGATCAGTCGCGTCTTCATTGAGCCTAAAAGGCCTGCCTTTTCTATCGATGAATTCGATTGATCTTAAAAGTGAAAATTTATAAGTTTAGTGTATTTATAAATAAAATGTATTTTGCGTGAATCAACTTACCTGAAGAATAAGCAACAAGTTTTGTCTTTATTAATTCTTCGTCCCAATCCGGGTGGTTCTTCTTGACCATTTTCACCATTTTGTCTTTCGCTATGATCAGTGCTACTAGTATTCCTTCACTCCCCGAGCCCTGAAAATTCAAATATAATCAATAATAATTAGTTTATAATTATTAAAAGTAGATGGTATTAAAATTACCTGGATTATTCCACCTCCTGGTCCTTTTGATTTTGCAAGAAAGTGTTCAGGGAGGTGCATAAGTTTTGCCAGCCAGTCTAACACAATAACTTCAAGTTCTGTACAAGCAGGACTTGTCATCTACACAAATTTTTTTTGTTAAACATTAAAACATCGTTGCAACAATAAATAAAAATATATACCCAGTTAAATCCAATACAACCAATTCCAGAACTTAAAATATCTCCGACAATACTAGGGTATGATTGGCCGGCTGGAAAATATGCATTGAACATTGGAGAATTCCAGTGGGTGATCTAGCGAACAAGCTTTATTTATATAATTGAATAAAGTGTTATTAATAATAATTAATGTTTTGTACGGTTTTGGCCAACTCACACCAGGCATTATAAACCGTTCAATGTCAGGAATTATCTCAGTCCAGTGCTCAGGATGCTTGGGTACCTCTTCAGGGAGCAAGGTATGCAAATATCCTGGACTGATATCTGGCAAAACTGTTCTGAAAAATTAAAAAAAAAATGTATAACTGATTGTTTCAAAATTGATGGAGAGATTTAATACCTGTCCCTTATGTTTTCATTGTATTCAACCACATAGTCGATGGCTTCTTTGGCAAATTTTTTAAATTCCTTCGGATCCATTTTAGTAGTAACGCTTATATCTTGCTCATTTCACTACAACAATGTAAAATAAAATGTCAAAATTATTATTAAACAAAAGTTTCTAAGTTTATATTTTATATAAAGAATTTAACCAAAACAAAACATGAAATTTATTATAAGATTTTTAACTCTTATACTTTTATAAATTTAAACAACTTTCAAATTTATACTGTGATCGCAATATTACATGAACTTCACAACCTCTTTTTCTTTGCTTTTTACTCTCTATAAGTATTTTGGGTTAAATGCAGGTGACGCTTTTCCTTGTATGAGTTTAGAACAAAAATGTTATACTTATAAACTGCCCTGGCTTTGAATTGGCCACTCCTGGCTCACCCATATTTACCAAAATTTCTTCTTTGAAAGGACCTTAAACCCATGTGCCCAAAATGCTTATCGCTATATCCCATGTTATAATTGATTGTCCTTTATGAACCTATACCGGAATTGTCAAATCACCAAGACTCACTACATTAATTCAGCATCAATAAACAAAATATGCAAATTCTTAACAGACTTCCAACTTATAAATAAAATGTATGTTGGTTGTGAGACAGACGAGCATGTGGCATCAGTGGTGCCTCTGCAGACGAAGATTTCTTCAGTGAGCTTGGAGGAGGAGTCAATGATGATTATTTATTTATTTTGAGCCTCCATGCACATATTTTAAAAATAAATTAGTTTTATAAACATAAATTCACTAATTTCGTGGTCCGCTTGACCAATTAATGTTACAATTAATTAAGGTTTTTAGTTGAGATAAAGAAGTCAATGGCACGAGCGGGATTCGAACCCACGATTTTCGGCTTGATACGCCACTGTTCTACCACTTGAGCTATTGTGACCTCAATCCACTCGGACACCAACTTCCTATCTCAACCGCACCTTTTGAATTTTCCCTCCTTTTTGCATTACACGATTACACGACATTTGAAAAATGGCAAAAAGTTTCTTTTTGATTATTTTCAAGCATGAAAATTTAGAAGATGAGAAGATGATGGAGCTGAATGAGTGGTGCGGGTGCGTGGCGGGGACCTGGCCCTGGTCGGCCGATCACGCTCGACAGTAAAATGAAAATAGAAGAAAACTTCATGGGTAATATGCCAGCATAAACAAAAAAAAAAAAAAAAAATCCAAATATCCAAATCAAGAAAATAAATGATATATTCTTTAAAATATTAATTATTTATAATCGAATGGTGAAGCCACAAAGGAAGGCTCACCTACAAATACTTCCCAGATAATGAGGAGATGGCACAAAAGAAGTGGGTGTCTTCGGATTTCTGGGCCCCACACAGCTTGACCGGACATGGCAACTTCTTGGGATAACTTTTTAAGTACAAAAGATCCAACAGCTCTTTATGCATCAAATGCACTACCGATGATGACATTGTGAACAAAACCTAAAGCCCGCTTCCGCAACAGTTATCCGCCAATTTTAAGCAAACTTGTTCACGATTGAAACCACTTGCAGGTGCTCAAGATATTAAACCTGAATATTGTCAAAAATAGAGAGCAAATAGAGAGTATATATTTATTTAATCAATGGTACAATATGCTTTAATAGGTTCATAAGGATAGTACAGGGTGGTTTTCCCTCCTTGATTTTGCGAACCCTGTAATTATACTAGCCAAAATTGTTTAAAAAAAAAAGTAAAAATATAAAGAGGAAATTAGCAAGGGGAGATCTATTAGCTTAGGATAAATTATATTCAAGGAAAATAAATCCCTACACCTTTGAGCCTCACCTTCATAATGCAAGACCCAAAAGGATGATAAGTTCAAACAATAACCCCCTTTTCATGTTTCATACCTAGTTTTTAGTTTTCCGCCAGTATAGGGGCTACCTAAGGCATGGCGAGTTCGTGGGTGAGGGAAAGATAAAAAAGAAACCACATTATGGAAAAAAGCAGAACAAGAAAGAAGATAAAAGAAAATGTGGGAAAGAAAAGGAAGAGGGAAGAAATAGATAAAAGAGAGGATTCATGTCGTTTTAAAAACTCAGATACCATGGACTTAAAACTAGCGACTGACAAAGCAGAACATACTCCTGTGGGAAGCAATTCCATAGTCTTGCCCCTGCAATTCTAAAGGATAAGGCTAAAGTTTTAGTAGGATTATTGAAAGCTTGATTGGTGCATTTGGATAAGGAATATAGGGAAAAATGTTATTTAATTTTAAATAAGTACATTAAAACTCTAATGATAAAAATGTTAAGAAGTGCTTACAATGTTAACATTGCTGAAGATGTTAGTACAGGAAGAACTATGATCTTTTGGTTTAAGATAATCAGTATCTAACGCAGGATTGATAAGCAATTTGGAGGCGTTGATGAGCCGATTGAGAGTCTAGGTCAGTATGATCATTATGATATTTAGCAGAAAAATAGTTTCAGAGAAGTATCTTAAATGACATCGAATGTAAAGCTGAGTTCATCAACATATGACATCGAGAGGAATTTGAGAACTAATGGAAGATTATTTAGGAACATGGAAAAAAGTAAAGGTCCAAGAATAAAGCCTTGCGGTACATCAGCTGAAATTGTGATTAGAAAGTTACCCCTACTCGGTAAAGCCCTGTGTGTATTGTACTGTTTAAAAGGGTCATAAGAGTTCTGTGGGGTTCCGTTCTTTCCAACAAATGAACTTTGAATCTACTACTAATTTTTAAGATGAAAATTTACATTTTAAATATGTCCTAAAGGATTATTACTTTTCTGATATGTAGTTTTATGTAATGCTACGTGGTTTTTAAAATTTCATAATTCTACGCCTAAATTTATTTTAAGTAGTTCAATAAGAGTATTGGAAAAGAAATAAATATATGTAGATGGCTATGCACGATAAACGTTTTTTAGCGTTTAAAGTGAGAAAAGTCTTATATTTATATACAGGGTGTATCAACTTCTATAGTCCACCTATTTAATTCTGAAACTTTAGCCAAAAATGGTCTTATACAAAACTCCAAGTTTATTTTGGCTAGGAATGGATAGTATAGGTGGTAACAGATTTAACATAACTTTCTCATCTAGCTGGGAAATGACACTAACTTTTATGTATTGTTATAGATTTGAGCATTTATTAAAATTTAGTTTATAATAAATCAAAAATGACCCCTGCGCAAAAAGACACAGTATAAAATCCTTGCATTTTAAATCTAAAACGAGAAGGAACATCTTATAACAAATAGCATACCCCTCACCGTCTTCCGTCGGGCATAACTCAGAAATGGTCGATCCTATCAAAAATTTTCCTTTCAGTAAATGTGGCATAAAATAAGTTCTAGAATCGAATTGTTCAATAAAAATAAGGGATTCTCGTTTAAAATAACAAAGTTAGTGTAATTTCCCAGCTAGATGAGAAAGTTATGTTAAATCTGTTACCACCACGCGATTCCTAGGCAAAATTAACTTAGGGATACACCCTGTAATATCGAGTAGACAGTAAGGACTGTTAGCGGCTCTTGATATCCTTGACATATCGCCGTGAGAAAACCATGCGTGAGTCTGCATTGACCTATACTGAGGCGAGCTAGGACCCTTTCATCCTTACGGGAGGTTCGATTGGCAGTGGACTATTATGTTACATCTTCCTTTATTTGTCTTTGCTTGTTAAGGGTCATTTCACGCCATACATCGTGCAACTTTTCCCAAATTGTTCTTTTGATATGAGTGAGAAAGTCTTCCCCAGATACTTGATTTATCCAGATCCCTTCTGTGACCCCTGATTTGGCCTCCGCGTCAGCAAGAATGTTGCCACGAATATCATCCGAAATTCCCTCAGGACTACGAATATTTCCTGAATTACGGGATTAAGGGAGAACTGATTCTGTATGACTGTGCACACGACCAGTTTTTGTGTGACAGGGCAAAAAATATTTAAATTTTTATTGAGAACAACGAGCTCGGCAGTGAAATGGCTACTTATTGCAGGAAGAGCAAACATAACTTTTGGAGTTGCTTTTTTTATTTTTTCTTGTTATTCATTTTTGGGGTTTGTGGTTCTAAAATTGAAAATTACAAATAGATTTTTGGTTTTTGCACAGCTGGCATGTACATAAATTTCGTCGTGTAAGGTTAAATGTAAATTAAAAAACGTTGATATTTCGATCGTTTTAAATCTTAAGACAACAAAGTCATATGTGTTCCAAATCTGACAGAATCGAGGGCTATTTTTTTACGTGATTTGATGTGATTGTTAGCAAGGCTGGTCGTGATCGATGGACCAACCCAAGAAAAAGACCAGGTTCGACCCTGACTTTCCTCCTCCAAATTCTTGTGTGGAGAAGACCGGCCAGTTCGCGTTCTGGCTCTTGCTCACCTTCACGTTGACCCTCACGTGCAGGACGTTTATTTCAGCGTACAAAGGGCTCAACTGGATGACGTCGGCTCCTCCTGATCAAAACGCCTCGACTCCGGAGGATCTTCAGTTGCTCAGGCTCTTCACGAACCTCTGGAACCGGGACTTCAACAGAATTTACGCAGAGTTTTGTTTCAATTGAAATGTCTGGATAAGCAGACGTCCCGGAGTCCGGCTAAATGTTTAAGTAACTCGATAAGTTGGCTACTTCGCAAAAAGATATATATTATACAATTAAGAGAATGGTAGAAGAACAAAAGCTAAGAAAAGTTATAATGGTAAGTAGAAAAAGAATAGAAACCATTTGAACCAAAAGATGTGCTTAATATTGTGCTTTATGCCAAGTAAAAAATGTAAAACTAATAAATTGATCTTTATTTTCTATATCTTTTTTCACACAAAGGAGCATATAAACGCTAATAAAAATATATTTTAACTACATACTCTCCTACTAATTTTTTTAAAAACTATCTCAGTTTTTAAATTGGCCGTAAAAAGAAACAGTTATTAATAATCTGGTCGTTACCGATCAGTTTTCTTCTGCCTTTCCTCGCTGGTTTGGTCTGTCCAGACCCAGTGCCAAAACTGAAGATGGCGAAATGCGTCTGACAGACTTGCGAGGATAGATAGACCAAAATTTATCGAATCGGCCAAATTACAATTTATCCCCCTACAAACCACGTGGATAAATCTCACAATTGTAAATAACACGTCGAACCGGCACTGTGGTCACTTACTGGGTCTATGTAGACCCTCGAGGTATGTTAGTCTTAGCCATCTTCAGTATGAAGTGACCGGTTCTTCATAAACAATTGATGAAGGGAGGTTCAACCAACACTCACCATCAACTTTAGTCATAAATAATTAAAATAAATAAATGTGAAAAGGATGTATATCGAGGGAGGTTGCGTTGGCCCAATGTCACTCATTACTGATGGTACTCATCTGACTACACAATAGTGCCAGGAAACATTGGAAATCGTAGAAGCAGAAGGGAACAGCTATTGACGAGTTGAAACGAATAAGGGCAAATCAAAAAAATACCAAATTCCTACTTAAAAAGAAAGTTCCGTATAAATCAATATATGTAAACGACCAAATTGTTTCCTAAGGTGAAATTTAAAATATCTCGGCTTAGTCCTAGAAGAAAACTGACATCTATCGAATTAAACAATTAAAATATTTGCTTAATGTGAAAGTCTACCTACGATCTAAAGCAATTGGTCTAGGTGACTGTTATTCGCCCACTTTAGGCCTACAAATGCGGAATCTGGGTTCCTTCCGTTTTCTGTGTCAAAAAATCCAGAATATCAAAAATTTATTTTTTTTACGTTCAGAATGTCTCAATAGACTTGAATGTAACAGTGTACTTTACCGATTGAAGATTCTATCTGTTTAATGTCGGAAGCCAGAAGGAGCAACAAGCAAGTACACCACCCCAAAGACTTTTCTACCTCTTCTAAATTTTAAAATAAATTACAATTAAAATTGTTTGATTTCGATTGGTAATTACATTTCTCTGAACTGGAGATTTGCTAAAGGGTCATGTAATTTCTTACCATCGTTCATTATAAAAAATTGTACTTGGCTTGGTCGTTCCCTGCAGAATCATCACTATTCAGACCCCTAAGAAGAAATTTTTTACTACATAAACTGCATAAATTAACTAGAGTTAATAAAATAAGAAAAAATGTCGAATTCAAATCGACCACTACTTAGATTTTTAATCGGATCGGTCTCTGAGAAATATCTGTTAAATATTGATGTTACAGCATAAGATTATCACGGGTTGCCGTGTTAATCAACTGCGACGTCGGGTAATCCTCAGTAAAGAAATGACCTCGGTTTCGTCCTGCACGCCAAGTTAAGCCCGGGGCTATCGACTGTCATTTTTGTTTCCAAAACTACAAATTTAAACCAAAGTTCATATTCACACACACACTTTCATTATACGTTATTTCCTATGCATATGCCGTATACTCTAGTGAGCCGATGGAGCAAATTATACGAACGATAAAATTAATGTTGGTGAGGGTAATCCTTGAGCGTAAAGAATATTGTATAGGGACATTTCTAGACGTGTCTAGACTACCTAATCCTTCGCTCCTATCTCTCAGATTCGTACGAGTTCGTCAGGGTTGAGACTGGGGGCGGGAGTGCTACAGGGCAGTGTGCTCGGACCAATCCTTTACTCCTCAGGCATCCCAACTACACCCTCTACCCTCCTAGCATCCTTTGCCGATAACTCAGCCTGCTTTCTGAACCCGATCCTACAACAAGGAGCTCCAGGCACGACGAATAGCCAAATGGAGCAAACTTTGGAAGATAAAGATCAATTAATTTATCTTCCGAAGCAAAACCCCTCATATCTTAATATCCCTAAAACCGACTGCGTACGCTACCTTGCGTTCTATCTTGACTCACGCTTAACCTGGAACCGATTCATACAAATAAGACAGAAATTGAACAAACGCTTCGGACTACTGTATAAACAAACTGCTTGGACGCAAATCTAACATGCCTAGGTTTTAGAAAAACATTTTCTTTATCGTGCCAACGTTTCGATCTTTATTGAGATCCTCTTCAGGGTTCAAGTGTTTGTTTTCCGTCCGAGGGCTCTCTCAACACGACAGACAAGAACATCTACACGGAAAACAAACACTTTCAGCCCTGAAAATGATTTCAATAAAGATAAAAATTTTGGCAGGATAAAGAAAATGTTTTTCTAAAACCTACGTCACACCAGACGGCATCTCACGACCTCCTAGTAATAATTATTTTTCTTATTAAAACCCTACGAAATAAAAATTAAATAAAATGAACCTGAATAAATTGTGGTTTTAGTAAAAATTGAATTAAGTACATGAAAAAAACACTTAAGGAGGCTTATGTTGAGAGAATCAGAGAATCATCACCACTCGATTTTAGAAACAAATGTGGAACTTTTGAACGCGATTTCTTAAGTGTTTTGATTTTTGACTTAACACACTTTTTACTGTAACTACAGATAACTACAGATTGTATAGATTGAAATTGAAGTTTTTTTTCGTGATCTAAAATGAAAACTCTAAATGTCTGAAACCGGGCCAATCTTTATTTATTGTACAATTAATTTCAACAATGAACAAGGGACGTACCTTCGTCTTAATCAGGTCGGTGCTGTTAGACTAATTCCTAAGGAGTAAGTTCTTGGAGTCTTATATACTCCGAACCGTAGGTGGTATGTCCTATTTCAAAGGCTTTCTTTGAAGACCGAAAGAGCACAAAGAAGGGGGAACATACCTGATGTTTTTTTGTTTTTTTATCGCCTTTTTAAGTGGGCTTTAAGACAGTGGTGGGCATTTTAATAAAGATCGTAGGTCGTCATTTTTTTGGGCTTTCATTACTCATTCGTAAATAGATTACGGTGTTAATACTGTAACAGGGGGTGGAACCGTTAGGTCTAATGACAATTTTGGCACTTTTTCATTGAACTGTATTGTAATTATTTTATACAGCGAATTAAGAAATGATACACACAGCATGTATTTATTCTCTCTGAATAGAGATTTGTTTTAGTACTTAATGTTGAATATTTTTTATGCTTTAGGTCTCTCTATTATGCCACAGAGCTACCCCTACGCACCCCTAGCAATTACAATATAAAATTTCATGAAAACACGTGTATTAATTATTATAATTTTAAGGATACTGTGCACGACATTTACGTTTCAATTATCTTTGTAACATGTTAGCGCGGATCTTTGTTTTTTCCTCTTTTTTCAAATTTTATTATTCTAGATGGAATATTACAATTATGCTGAATAACTTGTGTATAACCAATGGTCGAAAGAATGGCAGAACAGCTGGACCACTATGACCGACGAATTACACGATATAAAACCGTCGGTCTGATAGTGGAGCATGGGGATAAAAATAAAGAACCACATTGACCCGAGGATAGGCCACATCCGGTTGACATATCTAGCCAATGAAAGACCATAGAGATGACCCTTTATGCGGCACATAAGTATATGTAAAGCACATAGCAGAGTGCGAGGAATTAGGTACTCCTATTAATGCACCTGGGCCCCGGAAAAAATGAAAAAGAGAGAAAGGATTATTCTCATACGATTCAGGATAGGCCATACTCGCCTTACCCACGGTCATCTCCTCATTGAAAAGGGCCCAGGAAGTTGTAACAGTGAAACACGTTCTAGAATAATGCGAACGATTGGCACACAGAGTATGTTAGGACCTACCTGAAGATTTGTCAAGAGTTCTGAGGTTTGACAGCGACTATAAAGATAATCTCATTGCACAATTAAAATCAGTAATTGGGCACATATAAACATTCCGCACTATTATTATACATGAATGTATGTATTAGCGCGAATGATGAAGTATGCGTGGGTGAGGCTATGAGGAGATTTGAGTACCCACAGCCCACCGAATTAGGTTAAAGTAATTTAATATGTGTAGAGAGATGTCAGGATGCATCCGTTGGACCCGTCCATTGTGAATGTATTTATTAGCGTGAGTGGCTAAGTATGAGTGGAGGGGTCTGCCGAGGAATATATTTGTCAAAAACTTGGGTTAAGGAGCGAGGTTATGGAGCGTGATAGGGTGGCAAATAAAAATGAATGTAAAAATGTATGCGCGGTGTATTGCCAGTTTTAATCGTAAATATGGCATGAAAGGTTACTCAGAATGAACGTATTTATTGGCGTGAATGACGAGTGGTTGGCGAGGTGACTCTCACTTAGCCGACTCCCAGTTGTTAGGTTAGTTGAGATCTGCCAAACATAGGTTAGATTAAAATCTTGTTGTAGCATGAGTGTGTATGTATCTGTGTAATAAGTGTTCTAGGAATATTGCGTGTGGAAGAAAGGTAAATAAACATAATAATATCAAAATACTAATAAACATATGGCTCGTCTAGCAACCAAAGGTATACGACCGAAAAATGAGGAAAACATTGGTCAAAAAATGAAAAAGCTATGGCAAAAAGTTTGCAAAAAACAATAACAGTCATTTGGGTTGCTTTTTATTAATCACATTTCATGTTCGAACTGCCTGCCTTGCGTAAAGACGCAAAGATTTGATCTATGGTCAAGTATATCGTGATGTGGAGTGAATATTGTTGATAGATGCTCTGAAAAACAATTTAGCTATATCATATGTTATCACTAAGGACAGGGGGAGTGTGGTCTATCGCAGGACCTTACGGGAACAGCACCCCAAGGATTTTTCTGTATTGGAAATCAAAGTTTAATGTTAACCTACATATATCTCTACAAAGCGCAGAAGAAAGATGTAGACGATTTTACAAAATTAATACAGCATGCATCATAGTGCCAACCTCCTTACTTACACCTCGAAATAATCAACAATTATTATTCATCTACTCCTAACTGAAAAGCGAAGGGCCAGGGCAATCTGGGCATCCGCCGGATGAACCAACTCAAGAGAAAACTTAAACAAGGACTGGCTAAACTTAGGGGTGAAATGTACAAACAATGTACAACTTCGCTTTCCAAAACAGAAAAATACTTGCGGTTCTGTACCCATAAGGTCCTGCGATTTAAGGACCATACTTCCCCTTTCAGTCCTATAACATATGGAGCTATGTTCAAAGCTTCTTTCAACAATATTCACTCCTCATCATGATATACTTGACCGTAACCACCGGCATAACATTGAACACGAGTTGAATAATTCCTTGCAACTCTCTCCTCCTCCTAAAACATTACTCCATCAGACATACATCACTTAACCAACTACCTACTTGAAAAGCTCTAGGATATGATCATTACAACACATTTATTACATAGTTTGTCCCACAGAGGCTTACTTTATTTAAAATACCTATACAATGCGTTCTCACGATCCCATACTTCCCATTGCAATCGAAGTTCTCAATGATTAAAATGGTTAACCTAATAAACCTTCTGATCTTCAAAATTTAGGCCATTAGGCTTCTTTCTATCCGTGCCAAAGTTCTATAAAAATTACTTCTCCTACGATTATTGCCTATAATTGAAAATTCTAATATTATTCCAGATCATCAGTTTGGATTGCGCTCATTTCATTTGACAATTGCATCGTGTTGACAATTCCGCCTCTTCCCTCGAACAAAAACAGCATTCTTTGGGTGTCTTTCTTGATTTAGAGCAGACCTTCGATCGAGTATGGTACTCAGGCTTGCTTTCAAACTAAAGTATATCTAGGAAGAACATGCAACGATAAACTGCCTACAATCTGCCCAGTCTGGTCTTAAATCATGTCCACTTTTAAAAAAAGTCGTACTTTTAGCATTTATGGAAGGGCACCGGTTTTGAAAACGTCTTCCAGTTTTCAGGAAAAGAAGAGAAGCAATTATTTCGTATGAGTTGAGAATGAGAATGATACGATGTTACGGTCGTCCGTAGAAATAAGGCCAAGTTCCAAACCCCTCTCCAAAAAATTAGCTTTTCAATGCAATGATATCTACTACGGCTAAGTGCGTTCTTTTTTAATCGATAACTAGAGAGAACTCAAAAGAAAAGATCAAAGTTACCGACTCCACCCCAAAAAAGCCAGCCTATCAAAGTAATAATATCGACAAACTTTTGTCGTTTCTTCTGAGTACTTTACCCTTTACCTTCCCTACACCCACTTTCATGTGTGTACACGCATGGTCCTGATGTTTTATTTCTCATTATACTCTGCATAGGTGAATCCAGAGGTTTAAAAATGAAGAAGTGTTTCGTAGAATAAGCAAGCCCAGGTAACCTCTCACGATCAAATAAAGAAAAACACGGTATATGGGACAATACCTTTAAAAAGGCTAGTTCCCACTCACAGCAAGCTGCCTTGCAACGTCCAGATTTCGAGCCTTTTAGCTCATCATCAGGTCGAAGGACTTCTACAAGCACGTCTCTCGACATGAATTGCCAAAGTGAACCGCTGATACCCCCGCCAACGAGACGTTCCAATTATCAGCTGATTTTTTTAATGACGCTCAATTTGAACGTGCGAAACGCGGAAATTATAACACAAATAAATATTAGAATAAGAAATACATAATACTATAAATTACTATACAAATAATAACAATTAAAATAATTAGTTTAACTATTTGGATGTTTGATATTATTTATGTACATATTTAAAATGGGAGGTAGATCAAAATCTGTTATATTATTAACATTTATGAACATTTATCACCATGTTCAATTTTACATTTTTTTATTTCAAATTGTAAAATTGAACATGGTGATAAATGCATTAATAATATAACAGATTTTGATCTATCATGTCTAGTATATGGGACAGGTGATGCGTGGAGAACGCTATGAATTGCTCAGATTAATAATGGACGGCAACTGGGGAGCGTACCATCGGAAGGTGACAGAACTCTTGGCTGAAGTACTTGATGCGATGGTTTGGATGTTCGTTTGGATGGATGGATCAATGGACGTTTTAAGGGGTGAGACAAACAAGGAAAAGGTAGTTGATTGGATCCCCAACCTTCGAGAGGAGAAGGTGAATTAGGAAATCAACCTGTGAGTCTCGAGGTCGCTTCTTTTTTAATCTCCGTTCCTGTGACATGGGGGAGAGATGCAGTCCTAGGGGGTTGGTGTGGCAGATGGTAGTCCACGCTATCGTGTCCATGCTACGAGGTAGGGTAAGGTGGTGGTGGAAAGTGTAAGGTGGAGAAAGGTGGCAGCGGGCCCAGAACCTGTCTTTCTTATCTATTTGCGAGTGTTCTTCCTAGTATTTTACTCAGCACTCTCTCCCTCCTGGAAACGCAATCGTTTGTGTCTTAAACTTGTATTTTAAAAATACAGTTTTTAAAAAGTTATCAACATGTGAAGTTAATGTGTGGTGATATGTGGCACTCTCGATACGACACGCAAGAATGGCACAATTACACAGAAGAAAAACACTTTGAGCCCTGAAGATGATCTCAATAAAGATCGAAACGTTGGTACGATAAAGAAAATGTTTTTCTGAAACCTACACCCCTTTTATGTGAAGTTAATTTGTTTTTTAAAGAAAAGTTGAGGCGAAGGATTTATTTGTAAAAATTTTGTAGCTTTTGATGAAATCTTGCCTTTCCAGTAGTGGATCGTAGTGTGATCGATCGGATTTACACCCCCCTCCCCCGGAGGCAAGTGAATGTGTTATATGTTATATGTCTTACCTTAGCCTTAATTAAGCGAAGAGGCT